TTCTGTAAGTGCTATGGACACATTGCATCTGATTGTGCGAAGACACTGGAAGATTATACAAAAGTGGTGAATGTTGCCGTTTTGTTAAAGCAAGGTGTTACTTCTGTAAGTGTTATGAACACATTGCATCTGATTGTGTGAAGACACTGGAAGATTACACAAAAGTGGTGAACCCTTTTGCTAAAGCAAGGTGTTACTTCTGTAAGTATTATGAACACATTGCATCTGATTGTGCGAAGACACTGGAAGATTATACAAAAGTGGTGAATGTTGCCGTTTTGTTAAAGCAAGGTGTTACTTCTGTAAGTGTTATGAACACATTGCATCTGATTGTGCGAAGACACTGGAAGATTACACAGCAGTGGTGAACCCTTTTGTTAAAGCAGGGCGTTACTTCTGTAAGTGCTATGGACACATTGCATCTGATTGTGCGAAGACACTGGAAGATTATACAAAAGTGGTGAATGTTGCCGTTTTGTTAAAGCAAGGTGTTACTTCTGTAAGTGTTATGAACACATTGCATCTGATTGTGTGAAGACACTGGAAGATTAAGCAGAAGTGGTGAACCCTTTTGTTAAAGCAGGGCGTTACTTCTGTAAGTGCTATGGACACATTGCATCTGATTGTGCGAAGACACTGGAAGATTATACAAAAGTGGTGAATGTTGCCGTTTTGTTAAAGCAAGGTGTTACTTCTGTAAGTGTTATGAACACATTGCATCTGATTGTGTGAAGACACTGGAAGATTACACAAAAGTGGTGAACCCTTTTGCTAAAGCAAGGTGTTACTTCTGTAAGTATTATGAACACATTGCATCTGATTGTGCGAAGACACTGGAAGATTATACAGAAGTGGTGAACCCTTTTGTTAAAGCAGGGCGTTACTTCTGTAAGTGTTATGAACACATTGCATCTGATTGTAAGAGGATACTGGAAGATTACATAAAAGTGGTGAATGATGCACTTTTGCTGAATCATGGTTATGGCTGTATACATATATAAACATATTGTGTAGGCAGCGCGCATGCGAAGCTGCGCGCGCAACTTAAATTTGTCCCTTGGTTGTCTCATATAAAATTACATTTGACAATCCTTTGCTTTGTAATTTTATTTAAATATACATAAATATAATCCAGATTAAGCTCATAAGGTGTTACTTCTGTAAGCATTACAGAGACGTTCCATCTGATTGTGCAAAGACACTGGAAGATTACACAGAAGTGGTGAACCCTTTTGTTAAAGCAGGGCGTTACTTCTGTAAGTGCTATGAACACATTGCATCTGATTGTGGGAAGACACTGGAACATTACACAAAGGTGGTGAACTATGCCCTTTTGCCAAAGCAAGGTGTTACTTCTGTAAGTGTTATGAACACATTGCATCTGCTTGTGAGAAGACACTGGAAAATTACACAGAAGTGGTGAACCCTTTTGCTAAAGCAAGGTGTTACTTCTGTAAGTGTTATGAACACATTGCATCTGATTGTGCGAAGACACTGGAAGATTACACAGAAGTGGTGAACCCTTTTGCTAAAGCAAGGCATTACTTCTGTAAGTGTTATGAACAAATTGCATCTGATTGTGCGAAGGCACTGGAAGATTACACAAAGTGGTGAACAATGCCCTTTTGCTAAAGCAAGGTGTTACTTCTGTAAGTGTTATGAACATATTGCATCTGATTGTGCGAAGACACTGGAAGATTACACAAAAGTGGTGAACCCTTTTGCTAAAGCAAGGTGTTACTTCTGTAAGTGTTATGAACACATTGCATCTGATTGTGCGAAGACACTGGAAGATTACACAGAAGTGGTGAACCCTTTTGCTAAAGCAAGACGTTACTTCTGTAAGTGTTATGAACAAATTGCATCTGATTTTAAGAGGATACTGGAAGATTACATAAAAGTGGTGAATGATGCACTTTTGCTGAATCATGGTTATGGCTGTATACATATATGAACATATTGTGTAGGCAGCGCGCATGCGAAGCTGCGCGCGCAACTTAAATTTGTCGCTTGGTTGTCTCATATAAAATTACATTTGACAATTCTTTGCTTTGTAATTTTATTTAAATATACATAAATATAATCCAGATTAAGCTCATAAGGTGTTACTCCTGTAAGCATTACAGAGACGTTCCATCTGATTGTGCAAAGACACTGGAAGATTACACAGAAGTGGTGAACCCTTTTGTTAAAGCAGGGCGTTACTTCTGTAAGTGCTATGAACACATTGCATCTGATTGTGCGAAGACACTGGAACATTACACAAAGGTGGTGAACTATGCCCTTTTCCCAAAGCAAGGTGTTACTTCTGTAAGTGTTATGAACACATTGCATCTGCTTGTGAGAAGACACTGGAAGGTTACACAGAAGTGGTGAACCCTTTTGCTAAAGCAAGGCGTTACTTCTGTAAGTGTTATGAACAAATTGCATCGGATTGTGCGAAGGCACTGGAAGATTACACAAAGTGGTGAACAATGCCCTTTTGCTAAAGCAAGGTGTTACTTCTGTAAGTGTTATGAACATATTGCATCTGATTGTGCGAAGACACTGGAAGATTACACAAAAGTGGTGAACCCTTTTGCTAAAGCAAGGCGTTACTTCTGTAAATGTTATGAACAAATTGCATCTGATTGTGCGAAGAAACTGGAAGATTACACAAAATTGGTGAACAGTGCCCTTTTGCTAAAGCAAGGTGTTACTTCTGTAAGTGTTACAGACACATTGCATCTGATTGTGCGATGACACTAGAAGATTACACAAAAGTGGTGAATGATGCCGTTTTGTTAAAGCAAGGTGTTACTTCAGTAAGTGTTATGAACACATTGCATCTGATTGTGCGAAGACACTGGAACATTACACAAAGGTGGTGAATGATGCCCTTTTGCCAAAGCAAGGTGTTACTTCTGTAAGTGTTATGAACACATTGCATCTGCTTGTGCGAAGACACTGGAAGATTACACAGAAGTGATGAACCCTTTTTCTAAAGCAAGGCATTACTTCTGTAAGTGTTATGAACAAATTGCATCTGATTGTGCGAAGAAACTGGAAGATTACACAGAAGTGGTGAACAATGCCCTTTTGCTAAAGCAAGGAGTTACTTCTGTAAGTGTTATGAACAAATTGCATCTGTTTGTGCAAAGACACTGGAAGATTACACAGAAGTGGTGAACCCTTTTGTTAAAGCAAGGCGTTACTTCTGTAAGTGTTATGAACACATTGCATCTGATTGTGCGAAGACACTGGAAGATTACACAGAAGTGGTGAACCCTTTTGCTAAAGCAAGGCGTTACTTCTGTAAGTGTTATGAACAAATTGCATCTGATTGTGCGAAGAAACTGGAAGATTACACAAAATTGGTGAACAGTGCCCTTTTGCTAAAGCAAGGTGTTACTTCTGTAAGTGTTACAGACACATTGCATCTGACTGTGCGATGACACTAGAAGATTACACAAAAGTGGTGAATGATGCCGTTTTGTTAAAGCAAGGTGTTACTTCTGTAAGTGTTATGAACACATTGCATCTGATTGTGCGAAGACACTGGAACATTACACATAGGTGGTGAATGATGCCCTTTTGCCAAAGCAAGGTGTTACTTCTGTAAGTGTTATGAACACATTGCATCTGCTTGTGCGAAGACACTGGAAGATTACACAGAAGTGGTGAACCCTTTTGCTAAAGCAAGGCGTTACTTCTGTAAGTGTTATGAACACATTGCATCTGATTGTGTGAAGACACTGGAAGATCACACAGAACTGGTAAATGCCATTTTGCTAAAGCAAGGTGTTACTTCTGTAAGTGTTATGAACAAATTGCATATGATTGTGCGAAGACACTGGAAGATCACACAGAAGTGGTAAATGCCATTTTGCTAACACAAGGTGTTACTTCTGTAAGTGTTATGAACACATTGCATCTGATTGTGCGAAACACTGGTAGATTACACATAGTTGGTAAACGATGCCTGCCTATTTCAAAGCTACCATTGTGGATATATAGGGTCCAAGTACATATAGGGTGACAACAAAGGATTGTGAAATACATAGGCGCCACGAATATCAGATCTTAGCTCTGGGCAGTAAAGCAGGACCTATCAACGCTGAAATCAAAGATGGAAATTAACCTGTTGAGTCAACTGAAGTAGTAATACCAGAGACTAAAGAGTGGTAGAATCAAAATATGTCTATTCAAAAGTGCTTGTAATGAGTTTATATGAATAAAGATTATTTATATTTCTATTTCTAATTTGTGGCCAAAAGTAATTGGTTTGCCTTAAGTAATTCTGTGATTTGGGTATACTATTTCATGGAAATGTGGGCGTGTATCAGAGATAGTGTATAAAAGTATGAAATTCAATGTATGAATCTATTTAATATGTAAATTGGGACTTAAAGATTATAAGGCTTATGTTATGTATGTAAACAATGGGTAGTTTGATTATTATTTATAAGTTGATTTATGTGAGGGTACTTATGTAATTATGAAAAATATTACACAGTTTTGCTTCCAATCTCAACGAAGTGGCATGTTTTTTGTTACATTTCTTTTTTGTCTTGCATCATTAAAAGAAAGTAATATTCACTATTTTTGCAATGTTTATGTTATAGTAGTTCCTGACATTAACATATTTAACAAAAATAACCAAACTATTCAGCTTTATAAAAACAGTGTAGATTAAAAAACAGTTTCATTCTGCCGGTCAGTCAGTGCCAACAATACTAGCAACTTGTAATTTCATGTGTAAATGTGAGTAAGAAAGAGTAATTAAAAAAAAAATAGGAGAAGAATATTATGTTCTGTACAAAAAAAGAAACAAGTTCCTGAATTTGTCATTTCAGATTATATTAAAATCGTTTATTTAATATTATTTCTAAAATATTTTGATCTTAATTTGCTCTCTTTACACTGTCCTTTGATAATTAGTTTCTTATTTAATAATCTCATTTAGTTTATAAGTATATATATATATGTGTATACTTATATATAATTATTACTTGTTACAGTTACCTACATTTTGAACTGTTGGGAGTTAAGTTCGCTGAAGTCTCTCGGCATTCAGTAGACGGTAAATCTGGAAACTATTAATTATTTTTTAAATGCATATTTACATACATAATACCTCACTTAAAATAGATAATTATCAATAGGATTTTTTTTACAGAATAATGTCTTCTCGCAATATACGCAGAATGATGGGTGGCAATACCCTGCCCCCCCCTGACGATGATTCTGATGATTACCAACCCTTGTACGTAAAGGAAAGAGGATCCAGTAATGCTTATGACGGAGTTAGTAAAACTTTTTATTCATTTGTATCAGCTTTGTTGTAATAGGGGAAATCTATAAATTTCCTTACACGAATTTAATTTTTGATCGCTCCCTCTACGTGGTGGAACGCAACATAAACAAACATATGGATTTTGAAATGTGACTAAATAATAGATCACTTCCTCTCCTTTATTTTAAACCCGAAGCTGTCAGCCCAGATACCCGGGGGTTGTTGCCCCCGTAGTCAATGCCGAAGCAAATGGGCTTGCCTCCAGGCCCCAACCTTAAGACACAAGTCTCCTTTATCACTCTTACTCTTAGCCAGCCCACTCCTTCCACCGTAGGCTGTGATGTAATTTATAGGTGACTCCTAAACTGACACATATTCTTTCAAGTAAATGGAATAGCGGCACCTACTACTGGTACGTGGTCACCGTCACCTGTATCATCTACATCTACATGCTATGTATATTCTTTAAATACGGAAAAAATATTATTAATTAGGAAGACAACTTTAGCAGATGTCGCTAAAACCAAATCAATATCTTAGGTTTCAGAATTTCGGTTGTCTTAAAAAAGTAATGAAGTAAAAGCAAGATTATTTAATAATAATAGTTACATTATCTGAATAAGATCTAGGCCGACTAACGAAAACAAAGTAATTACTTGCGTGTATTAAAAACAAAACAAAAGAAGTACCATATAATATTCCATCAATATTGCATGTTATTTATATAAATGTTTTTTTCAGTTGCTGGCTGGCTCTAATTCGGAAGCGGAGGATGTCAATGTAAACGACGATTCGGACAATTTGCAACCTGTTTTGACTAATACTGAAAAGAAAAAACGCAAGAAGAAGAAGAAGAACAGGAGGCGCAAGAGGACATCTGTGGATTCTACTTCAGGAGATTTCTCGGTATAAGACATAATATAAGATTCAAAATTAAAAAAAAATCAAAACTATCATTTGAATATTGTGTTTATTGTAGATTTGCGTCCAATATTTTAATAATGACAACCATCATCATCATCTGCCTTATCCCATTCATTTGGTGTCGGCGTAATATGTTTTTCTTTTCCATTCATCCCTGTCCGCAGTCATCAACTTGTTTACTCCCTTTCTTACCTCATCATCATTAACACAATCCATCTTTTGTGGTCTTACTACTCTACCTTATTAATAACTACTCGCCCCGGTTTCGCACGGGTTCAGGTATTATATATATATATAAACCTTCCTCTTGAATCACTGTCTATTAAAAAAACTGCTCCAAAATCCGTTGCGTATTTTTAAAGATTTAAGTATAGGGACGGACCGACAGCGACTTTGTTTTATAATATGTAATAATGGTGATGACAACCAATGATGAAGAATTTAATGTGATGTTTCTAAAATTTTAGCTCGATGAAATAGATCGCTCTCTGAGGGAAGTGAATGCATTATTGGGACCTCCAGCTCCCGCCGTTGCTGCTGCTGTCGTCGTTCAGACGTCTAATCTGATGGCAGTCCAAAATAAACATTTGGATTATACCTATGAGGAATATCGCGTCTTTGGACCTTTGGATGCTGACGAAGAGGGCGTCAGGCGGTAGGTGTTAGTTATTAGAAATGTTGATAGTACTGATTTTATGTAATATGGTATTGTTTTATTTCTATTTTTTTTATACTACTATAGTGGCAAACAGGCATACGGCCCATCTGATGGTAAATGGTTACCGTAGCCAAGGGACGCCTGAAACACTAGGGGTGTCACGTGTGCGTTGCCGACCCTTAAGAAACCTTAATATGCCCTTGTAGAGATAACAGGGGTGTTAATTTGAAAACCCCCATGCTGTAGTCTCGTGAGAAAACCTCGGTAGGAAGTTCCACAACCTAAGTATACGCGGGATGAAGCTCCTCTGAAACCGCACTGTTCGAGATTCCAGCGTGTGGGAATGAATTCCCAAACGATTGCGAGTGGTGCGATGGTAAAAGGTGGCCGTAGGCATCATGTCGAACAATTCCTCAGAACACAGTCCGTTGTATAATCGGTAGAACACATAAAGCGATCAGAAGTCTCGCCTCAAACTAAGTGGTTCGATACCGCCCGAAAGATTGGGATTGGGTCTCTGGTCCGCAGTGAAGTACCGCTTCGCTCTATTAAGCACACCGAGTGTTTTTGGACGCCAGCTTGACCTTTTCTTCGAGGTGACTACGGAACTCAACTGTGCTATAGATGTCGATACCGAGAATCCCAATACTCTTAGAGATGGTAATAGACGTGTTCTGGAATTAAGTGAAAGTACTAAATATTCGAATGTCATTAAATTGGACGCACGTTGAAACGAATACTAGTTGGAAGGTAAACTGAAAATATCTTGTAAGTTGCAAATACAAAATGATACTTTTTTATCAACATTTTGTATTGCAATCCTAAGTTTCTTTCGATGGTATTTTGCAATTATTTCATTATAGGCGTGGTCGCCAGCCGTACATCAGCCGGCTTGGAAAAAGAGGCTTGATCGTGAAAACGCAACATTTCGAAGATTTCGCTAGGTTTGGTGAGTATTTGATTTTTGTTATTATATTGTATTATTATAACTTCTCTATCAACAACAGTGTTGTTTATATAATATGTATAAATTCTCGTGTCACAGGTTTCGTGTTTATACTCCTCTGAAACGGCTTGACCGATTTTGATGATTTTTTATATCAGTAGGTCTGGCAATAGGTTTATAACTAATTTTTAGACCCGTAAGTGTTTAGACCACACCTAAGTTTTTTTTTTAAGTTTGACGACAATTCTGTTTATGTATCTTCTAAAAATACATATGTACAACCATAAATTTTCACCCTTCTATCACCAACCCTTATTAATATCGAATTTGATTTATATGGCAAAACAACCTTTTCGTGGTCAGGTAGTGAGGTAGAAAGTCAGGTATATATAAAATTCTCGTGTCACGGGTTTCCTGTTTATACTCCTCCGAAACGGCTTGACCGATTTTGGTGAAATTTTATGTGTATATTCAGTAGGTCTGAGAATAGGTTTATATTTCATTTCTATACCCCTAAGTATTAAGGGTGGTTCACCCCAAAATATTTTTTTTTTAACGACAATTCCTTTTATATGGCATCAAAATATACATACAACTATAAATTTTCAACCTTCTAAACAATTTTTTTTAACAAAAATTGAAATGGGGTGTCAAAAACCCTTTGAGTTATACAATTAAACATTTTGTTGAGCTGTTTTGCAATCCTTACAGGATTGTCGATGTCCATCGACCGTTGTAAAGACGGTATTACTTACTTCGTCTTCAACCATAGCGCATTGTATCAGAAGAGACATCGCATATTCATTGATATGGTGATTAGCAACAGGAACAATATGGGATTCCCATTCGACGATATCCAGTACAACGTGCTTCCCGATGAAGTACTTGAGGTTAGTAGATTTATTTGAACTATAAACTGAAGGTTTTTTTGTCAAGAAATATCTGCAGATTTTGCCAAACTGAAGTGGAAACGCCTCTACACATCCTATGTGGTTGTAGCACACTCGTGTATGAACGTAACAGTAACACATTTGAAAAGTTTACACTATCCTGAGGAGAGAAAAACTATTATACACTTAATTTTTTTTCACTAAGTTGAAATGTAATGCTACCTTCACAATAACAACATTTTTATTTTGTACGTAGTTGTAGCTGGAAGAAAATAGTGTCTATATCTATACGATACAGACTAGGACTAGTATACGATACTACTGGTAAATTATATGTATGATGCATATTTAACAAAAATGTAATCTATACATATAAATAAATTTGGAGTGTCTGTTTGTAATATTGAAATAACTGTTTTTAACTACATGCATATGAATATACATACGGTACTTACACCAAAATAATTTTTTTACAATTTTTGTCTGTCTGTCTGTTTGTTCCGGCTAATCTCTGAAATGGCTGGACCGAGTTTGACGGGACTTTTTTGGCAGGTAGCTGATGTAATAAGGAGTAACTTAGGCTACTTTTATTTTAGAATAATAACGTTATATTCCACGCGGACGAAGTCGTGGGAACAGCTACTAGTTTATAAGAATAACTAACTGTAAATACTTAATTTGGTGTCAATAAATCTGTTATTATTATTATTATCGTCCCCAAGAATATCCTTCAATTCTTGACCTGACGGGTCTAGGTACCCAACTCTGAAAAAAGAGGATAATATATCTATGTAGGTCAAAGTGCTACAGGTCCAAGCACCTGACAATGGCCCAAACATATATCTACCTTGTTTCCTGAATGTAAATTAAAATCGAATCGTATTGCGTTTTATATTTTATTGATGATTAAGTAACATGTTATGTACCAAATAAACTATTTTCTTTCTTTATTTCTATCGAAATATTCGGAATATCGGTGTGATAACGAATTACCTTATTACTTCTCAACTCTATAAATCACTTCGTGAATACCAAAGGTAAGGTATGCAATCTAATTGATAATTAACAATATTAATTACTATATTATAATATGTCTACACAAAGATCGTGGTCTAGTAGATCTAGAGTACAATACTGATTTAGTCCCCAGAGGTCGACAGTTCGAATCTGATCGTTACAAAAAAGTAAAATTGTTCACAAGTTAGTTAAGAGTAGTTGTGATAAGACGACTACAGCAGACAACAAACAAAAAAGCTTGTGTGTCGGCTGCGCCCGGCCGATCAAAACAACTTGTCTGTTGTTATAACGCCTCACAATTAGGCTTCGCCCTTATCCGACAAATTCCGAAATTTTTTTCGGATTCGGTTACGGTTACGAATCCTTACTAATATTATAAATGCAAAAGTAACTGTGTCTGTCTGTCTGTCTCGCTTTCACGCCAAAACTACTGAACCGATTTAAACGAAATTTGGTACACAGATAGTCTAGACACAGATAGGCTACTTTTTAATGCGAAAAAAAAGTTGTAAGGTGTTGAAATTGGGGATGAAAGATTGTATGGAAGAATCGTTATTTTTGAAGCTAGAAGCTTGATACTTTTTCAGACTGCTAATTAAATATAAATAAATATGATATACAAAGTTTTTAAAAATTTTACCCTTAGGGCGTAAAATAAAATAGGGGATGAAAGTTTTTATGTAATTTTGTCATTTTTGAAGCTAGAAACTGATTTTTGAGGCTGTTGATTGAATATAAATAAATATGCCATCAAATTTTGTAAAAATGTTACCCTTAATGGGGTAAAATAAAATAGGGCTTGAATTTTTTTATGTAAAATCCTTATTTTTGAAGCTAGAAGTTTGAAACTTATTTCTGAGGCTGTTGATTAAATATAAATAAATAGACCATCAAAGTTTATGAAAATTTTACCCTTATGAGGGTAAAATAAAATAGGGGATGAAAGTTTTTATGTAAATTCGTCATTTTTGAAGCTAGAAGCTTGAAACTTATTTATGAGGCCTTTGATTAAATATAAATAAATAAGTCATCAAATTACAAAAATGTTACCCCTAAAATAGGGGATGAATATTTTTATGTAAATTCGTTCGGGTTATAAGGGGTTGAAAGAGTTTTGTATGGAAGTGTCGTTTTTGAAGATGAAACTTTTTCATTTGGATTTTATTGGGTTAGGTCATTAAATATTTTATTCATTATTTGGTCAAGGTCACTATTTTCGCGGATGAAGTCGCGGGTACAGCTAGTATTTTATATATCGGATATCCGATAGTTACGATTACGGAGTTTCCTAACATCCCTGTGACAGTTAGTACATAAGTGTCTAGTGTTGCCTGGTGTCCCGATTTGTGTGGGACGTCCCGATTTTCGGGGTCTGGGGACGCGTCCCGATTTGTATCTGATCGGGACGCTAAATGTCTGATTAAGACTAGATTAGACAAGACTGATTAATTGTTATGGAAGATTAAATACATATTTAACTTAAGTAAGTAATATATTACAAGCACTAGTAGTTTAAAACGCAATATGTTAAAAACAGACTTAAAAAGAGATTATATTTAAGTTATTACAATAAAGATTATTTCTATTTCTATTTTTAAAAGCCTTGTTCTTTAGTTTACTGTCCCGATCTGCAACCCTAAGTCCCGATTTTTTTACCTCATTTCACCGATTTAAATCAAATCGAACCTGGCAACAATGGCAACACTAGTTCCAAACCTACTGTGTGTGTTTACTCTCACCACCATACTATACTTGCACTAGTAGTTTAAAACGCAATGAAATAGACCCAGACTTAAAAAGTGCTTATATTATTATTTTTATTAGCCAATAAAGTTTATTATTATTACTATTATTTAATAATAATAATTTTTATTATTTTTTCTCTCTACTTTCGCCGGTAATCTTGGTATGTACGGGCCTAAGCCAAGTACACAATTATTATTATTAAATTTATTTCAATAAAGATTATTTCTATTTCTAAAAGCCTTGTTTTTTCTTTACTGTCCTGATCTGCAACCTTCAAACCCGATTTCATTTACCTCATGTACCGATTTAAAATAAATCGGACCTGGCAACACTAGTTCCAACCCTACTCTCTTTGTGTTTATTCACACTACCGCTCCTGTCATCACAACCTAATTTAGGTAAATTACACATAACTTAGGTAAATGAGCTATTTCAGATTGCTGATCTGATGTTCCGCATGGATGATAATTCCGAAGCAAGGAAGCTGATTGAGAGGGCCATCTCTTATATGCAATTTGTGTCGCATCCATTGTTCAATCTCAGCGACGTAAGTATATAACATAACAGTAATATATATAAATGAATTGAACTGTGCCGTGTAATATTAAAATGAAGAATAAATTTGATTTTTAAAATTCTCCTTATAACTCCATTTTGTATATTTTATAGTAACTCTTTGTGTTGTGTTATGTTTATCGATTATGTGAAAATAATGAATTCAAACATGTATACATATCATAAAAGTCTGTAATGGACCTACATGAATAAAGATATTTTGAATTGAATTGAAGAAATTTAATTGAGTTTATTAACAGTTTTTCTCAATTGAATCTGTATAGTCACTAGACGGTAGGGCATAAATTATAATACAAAACATTTAACGTTCATAAGCGGCTATAATGTCATGTATGAATAAATGATTTTTTGATTTGATTTGATTATCATCAACTACCAAAATTCTTCATTTTATAGGATATTATATGAACGTATCTACTATACATCCTTAATAATATTATACATGTGAAAGTAGGGATGTTTGTTACGTATTCAAGCAAAAACGATTGAACCGATAATCATGAAATTTCATTCATGGTCTTGAAGATATCAGAATGAACATAGGATACTTTTTATTAAAAAAAAAAAAATTTTTTTGACCAATACGTGTGAAGCCGCGGGTAAAAGATAGTATTTTTATAAAGCTTTGTAATATATATATATATATAGTTGATGTATGAAATATATGTATAGTACAAAGATTTTACGATTAATACAGCGTGAATGAGTACAAGTTAATTGTGTGTTTGTCCCATTTTAGGGTAACATCCGCTTGGAATATTCCTGTGTTGAGAATCGTGTTTTCCACGTAGCAGTGGTTAAGTATCTCCATATGCTTACGAACACGATGTTCCATCGCACCGCCATGGAATTGGCCAAGATGTTAATGAACATTGACCCAACTGATCCGTTGGGTATGGTGTTCTTCATTGACACGTTTGCATTGAGGGCCAGGGAACACCAGTGGCTCATTGATATTATAAATTTGTGGACGATTGAAAAGCGGGCGGATCTGCTTCACAACATGCAATACTCATATGCCATGGCCCACTTCCATGTCGCTCACAGGAAGAAAGGTAGTCTGATCTCGACTTTGTTTTATACTATGTAATGATACACTGTTTCTAATTCTTATCCACCTCCTCCTATGTGAAATACATAATTAACATTAAAAATTGAATTGTAATATTAGGTTTTATGATGAAATCACTTAGGATTAATTTAATAAAATCGTGAGTCAAATTGTCAAAGCATATAATGAAAAACTAAACCCACACGCATTACAGGATACATATTGTAGATGTGCGTTAGGTTAATTTATCAGCTTACCACTACCAACATTGTGTTTTTTCTTCTATATTCATCATGAAATTATATTATAGAAAATAACATGGAGTATTGTCTGTAATAAAAATTAATCAATATTACATATACAATAGACCCGCGGTAATCCGGCCCCTGTCTTATCCGGCCCCCCTTGTAATCCGACATGGTCTATTATTTATTATTGAATCTGTTTTTGACAATCGTCGCTAATGCATGATTGTACAAGTTTGAACTAATCTTGTACGTGTCACCACTGTTATACTCGACGCGTAGGGTAGTTTTGATTATGATTGCTTAGTTGAATTTGACTACTTCCATGTGATGAAGATAGTGGTGTTCATTGTTTACTGCCTTTTTTCATTGTGTATTACCTATCAGTTCAGAAGCGAAAGCACAAAACACTGACAATTCAAGAAAAATGTGATATTTTAGACCACCTAATTCATAACGAATCTTTTAATAGTTGACATACATAATGAAGTAATATTTGTACATGCATACATATATAACATAGAACCTTATCACTGGACCTGTAATTTGTCGGATTATAAGGTACTCTTTTGTAAAAAAAAATCCGGACTATAGGGGACCCCTTAGGCCTCTATGATCCGACAAATTCGATTGTGCGACACTACCCTGCAAAACGATTGTCGGATAACCGCGGGTTCACTGTATAGCTTAATTTTATTGTAGGGGACATGACGCGCGCTAACCAGCTGCTGCAAAAAGCGATGCTGAACTTTCCGACCGCGGTCTCTAAAATAATAGAGTTCACCCACATCAAGCAGCAGCAGATTCAGTCTCACCCACTGTTTACAACATTTGCCGAGAAGACGTAAGATGATATTTTTGTTTGTACTAGTGTTGTATTTGTTATATTTGTATTTTTACTTGTATCATTTGTCGCTAGCGGTTGGAGATTGTTTCAGCTATCAAAGGGCTAAAGACAAATGTAAATATGTAAAATAAATAAATAAATAAAAAAACTATCCCTACTACATTTAGTAAGCTAGTTTAAGTAGTTTTTTTTATGTATACTTGCCCTAGGGGCTTTTTTTTATAGATGATAATGAAATGGTACACCTGCCTGCGTTAACGGTTTACGCTGGCGGGGCACCAGTGGAGGATGATAAAATGAGTATAAGGTCCGGTCATTTAGCCCATCGTGACAAATTCACCGAGAATTTATCACGATGGTTTCCATGGGGAACCGCGTGGAGGTCAACCTAACATGATACTTTGTTAGCAATAAGATAATCAATTCACATTACTAACAATTCCCTTTCCCCCTGCCCTAGGGGCTTTGAACTAGCCACCCAGAGGTGTTTTTGCTTACTACTTGCCCTAGGGTCTTAAAACTAGCCACCCGGAGTATATTGCCCCCGGAGTAGACGCCGGGGCAAAGGAGTTCGCCCCCAAGGGGGTGTGGATGACCAGGCAGTAGGGCAAAGGAACAGAGACACCGAGCTGTACATTATGTCACTCATGGCAGCACAGAATACCAGTTCCGCGACAGTTAGCTGTCACGGTAAATGCTGAGTGTCGGCCATTTTGCTACCCATTAATTGTTAGATATGTTTTTTGTAATGTATGTGTGTGTATGTATATAGTTTATATATAAGTTTGAAGGCCTGATCTAGTGGTTTAGCACCGTTTTACTTCTGATAGTTGCGGGTTCGATTCCTCGCACGGCACAAATATTTGTTTTCAGGAGTATGATTGTTTGTATCTATCTGGGTATATATTATCTATGCTAATATTATAAACCTGAAGAGTTTGTTTGTTTGAACGCGCTAATCTCAGGAACTACTGGTTCGAATTGAAAAATTATGGTTTGTGTTGGATAGTCCATTTGTCGAGGAAGGCTGTAAGCTGTATAACATTACGCTAAGAGCAATAGCAACGGAGCGGAGGAAAAAATTCCAAGAGGTGGGGAAACGAAACGCAAGAAATTCTATATGGTACATTGCTAGCAATAGGATTCGTAAGCCACATAACAAGCCCCCCCCCCCCCCGCCCTTAAATGGATTATTCTACTTATATTTTCATATTAAACTTTTTTTTTCGCAGTACCAATATCAATCTTCAAAATTTGATAACCATTTATGCCACCATGACAACTGCGAAGTGGCGCGAGCCTGAGGTGTACAGGTGGTTCATTGGCAACGCCAAGGATCTCATTAATAAATATGATAATGATCCTAAGATACAGGTAAGTGGTCATCCCAAGCAATTAATACAAACATATTACAAATTCTGCTTCACTGATTTTCATACAGTCATGCTTGCTATAATGCCGGGTCAATATCTTGGCTCTAATATGGTTGAGTACAATGATGGATGGCTCATCCGTCATACTCGTGAAGGTGCTGATTGTGGGGCCTGGCCTTGGGTTCGGATTACGAACACTGATTAGACTATTTACTTTTGACTAATGGCTGGCCTGGACATCAGTGGAATATCTACACTAACTATAAAGCTGAAGAGTTTGTTTGTTTGAACGTACTACTCTCAGGAACTACTGATTCGAATTGAAAAAATATTTTTCTGTTGGATAGTCAATTTGTCGAAGAGTTTAAGGTATATAACATTACGCTACGACCAATAGGAGCGGATGCAATGAAAAATATCGTATACCGTTGTGTGCTCGTAAACGGTTCAAGTTAGCCAAAAAATATGTAGGAAGTGATTTTAGTAACCACGGGAACGAAGTCGCGGGCACAGCTAGTGATAAGATAAACATGAAATCAAGTCAGTCAGATAATCCTAGGCAATTCATCTAGACATGTAAGCGTAACACTTTACACTTCAGAAATGATCATGATTCTCTAGGCTTATTATACAATATTGAATAGAGAGAATGTTTTGTATGTGAATAATAATTCTTATACAATTACAGGAGCTTGCAACTGAAGCCGCTGCTAGGCGTAAAACGGTCTTTCAAATATGGCCTGACGAACTGATCCGTCACATGGTTATCATAAAGCCGATGGAGAGACTTCTTTTGGATAGCGTAAGTATTTTACAGTATGACAAATTATATATATATGTATACTACTCGCCCCGGTTCGCCCGGAAATACATGTATTATACATATAAACCTTCCTCTAGAATAACTCTGTCTATACATTATTTAAATTATTAACCGGATCTTAACACGAATAATTAAGACCCGGTTAATAATTTAAATAATGTATATTAAACAAGTAAGTTTAAAACTCTGTCTATTAAAAAAACAGGGTTCAAAATTCGTTGCGTAGTTTTAAAGATTTAAACATACATAAGGATGGACAGACAGCGATCGCATCTTTGTTTTATACTAGGTAATTTGTAACATTACGTAGGATCATTTGCTTTTGACAAAATTGCAATAGCATATACTGGGAACCGTGCGGGGTTCTTCGATGTATAATATGTTTTTACGATAAAAAAATATCCATGTATTTGTAACAGTTATCTAGTGCGCATAACACACGCTTTAGCTACCTTAACTTGAGTTTAGATGGCACTGTGTGATTTATCCTGAGATTATTATTTACTTTACAATGTATTCGTCCATTCACAGGTCATTCCTGACGTGGAAGTTCACGGCATCGCATCTAACCCTGTGCCCGTGCCCATGGCCAATGGTAACGACCGCTACCAATATAAGTACAAGCCGCCGACCCCTGAGGCTGACGCCCCCACTGACAACCTGCTGGCTGGGTTCTTGATGTCCATTGCACCGGCATTCGTTCCACCTCCGTACGTATAAATAAATTATTTTTTTCTGTTATATTCTATTCTATATCCGCTACAATTTCGGTTGTCAATTCGGTTACAAGTTGCCGGCAACAAACGCAATCGCCCTCTTGCGCCCCAATTCCCAATTGCCAGAAAGGCGCTCCCAAAATCAGTCGCAGTCTAGCGTTCCGCAAGGAAGTTATGATTACGATTGGACATTTTTTTGAAGAGATACAGATATTTTTGCAGAAATATATGACATCAGAATTAAATTTTTTTTGGTATTTTTAGGCACATGAGTAAAAGCACATGGCACTCAAACGGTTATAATATATATCTAGAATGTAAAAAAATTAGCTACGGATCTTCGTAGTGATTTGAAGTTTCTACATTGAACCGTTCTGAAGTGTATGTAGGATACTTTGTTATTTATTATAATACGAAATATGAAACTGCGATTGAGCGGCCGCCGTCGATCTTTTCAATGTGTTGCGACAAAAATACGGATACAGTTTTTGCCCTCAGTCTCGTCTGTTTCAGCCGCGCGTTTTAATTGAAAGATGAGCATATATCCAAATTACAGGATATGAGACATGACGCTTTACATCAGCCTATATATTTCAGTTACATAAAAAAACCGACGTCATCGATTGCGAACCAATTTTTCAGGAATCCTGAGCCCGTTGCAAGTGACATGGCGGTCCAAGCGGAGCACCGTAACGTAAGAGCCGTACAACGTCGTGAACAAGAGGCTCTTACCCGTCAACGTGAAGCGCTTGCTCGCGAACGCGTACAGCTTGAGCGCGAACAAGCAAGGCTTTTGGCCGAACAAGAGAGGCTTGCCCGCGAACGAGCTGAGCTTGCGCGTGAACCTGAGGCGCGCAATCCAGATGGCGGTAATCCTAACTAATTTATAAAGGTGAAACTAACTCTGTCTATCAGCCTGTCTGTCTATCTGTCCGTTTCGCTTTCTCATTTAAATGAAATTGGTACACAGATAGTCTAGACACTAAGAAAGGACATGGGCTACTTTTTAATGTGAAAAAGGGTTGTAAGGGATTGAAAGAGGACATGAAAGTTTGTGAGTAATTTGTTAAATCTAGAAGTTTGAAACTTCTTTTTTGGACTGTTAAATATATATGATTTTCAAAGATTTACCCATCAAAATGTTACCCTAAGCGGGTAAAGTATAAAAGGGGTTGAAAGTTTGTAAGGCAATATCGTCATTTTTTAAAGCTAAAAGTTTGAAACAAAATATCATCATTTTTTAAGTCTATAAGTTAGGAAGTTATTTTTTGGGCTATTAAATAATATAAATAAATATGATATTCAAAGTTTTACCCATCAAACTGTTATCCTAAAGTGGGTAAAGTATAATAGGGTATGAAAGTTTGTAAGGAAATATCTTCATTTTTTAAAGCTAAAAGATTGAAAGTAATTTATTGGCTGTTAAATAAATATGATATTCAAAATTTTACCCATTAAAATGTTACCCTTAAAAGGGTAAAGTATAATAGGGGATGAAAGTTTGTATGGAAAATAGATATTGGAAGGTATAATGGTGAAAGTGTTATCTTTGGCTAGATTATTTACTATTTTTCTTTATTTGGTACAGCTAGTAAATTGTATTACTTTTAAGATTACTATAAAATATGTTTATTTATTGCATTACGCGCATGTTTTGAATGATATTATACAATAGTAATGCATGTATGTAAGTTAATAGTGTTGACATAATATATATACATATATATAATATCAATTAAGAATCTAATCTGTTATCATAAAATTAATATATTGTAATCGTAGTAATGTTTGAGCTGTATTCAATGTTAATTAGTATATTAATAAAGGTTATTGGGCAAAACCTAATTTATTAACAAAATATTTCCTACAAAAATAAAATTAACTGAAATTGTTAAGTATTAACCAACTTTGTTTTATACTACTATGGTGGCACACAACAAGCATACGGCCCATCTGATGGTAAATGTTTACCGTAGCCTATGGACGCCTAAAACACCAGGTGTGTCATGAGCTCGTTGCCGACCCTTAAGAAACCTTAAAATACTCTTCTTGAAAAACCCCATGCTGTAGTCTCGTGAGAAAACATTGGCATGAAGTTCATTCCACAACCTAAGTACGCCAGCTATTAATTTTATACAATTTTTATTTTTTAACCATTGCAATAAAAATGAATAATAATAATAAAACTGGTATTCCGTGAGCATTTTATATGTAAAATGTTTAGATAAAACAATTTCAATGAAGCATTATATTAAATAAACAAAACTACCAATATTAATATCCGAAACCTTATTATAATTGACCTTAATATATTATCTTTTTCATATTTTGGTCTGAATCCCATTGTCTGTATTAACGCGACATATAAACGCGTAAACTAGAGGGGTTTACCTAAACTTGCACTCTATTTTTTTTTCTGTAGGCCGTGGATATAGGTTTCATACTAAAGTGCCCAATGACCTTTACATTCATGCAAGTTGTGACATTGTAAATTAGATTCGACAACTTATGGTCAGAATTGATCAGATTTTACAATAACGTATCAGGACAAAAACCCTGTCTTGTTATAGTAATCCTGTATAGGTATACATTTACATACAGGATTATAATAATAATAATATAGGGCAAGATGTTGCCACAAATGAAGCAACAGATATTACTTTAAACATAAAAAAGTCTTATGGAAATTTTCAGTGCGTCACCCCATAATAAAAAGACGTCATTTTTTCTTCAATATCACACATCGTCTCTGATAATTTCCAGGCTTACTACTAGTTCATACAAACTAATTCTTTATTATACTCTGTGCGCTGTAACATGGTGCGGGTGACACTAATTTTACATTTAACAATTGCTACATTTAAGTTAATACAGTTATCAGTGATCTAAAAAATTACGAATTGGTACAGCTCAAATACTGTCATAAACGCTGCAATTTTTAAGAGTGAAACAAAAGTTAATGAAACTCACCCGCACCATGCTGTAGCGTATATGGTATACATATATACATTTTTCACGACTTGTACTTATTAGCTTATCGTGTTTTCTTATTTTTACATTTTAAATGTTTACTGTTTCAGGCGTCATTATTCAAAACTGACTATTTGTAAAATGATTACTATATAATAGTATATTACTACGATGGTGGCAAACAAGCATACGGCCCATCTGATGGTAAATGGTTACCGTAGCCTATGGACGCCTGAAACACTAAGGGTGTGCGCGTTGCCGACCCTAAAGCAAACTTAATATGCCTTTCAAGAAAAACCTCATGCTGTAATCACGCGTAGTTCATTCCACAATCATTTTTTAAATTAAAGCAAAGAACAGGATGGATAATTAGTGCTTCTATGTAATTTATTAAAATATAGTTATATGGGCTAAGTCCATTGAAAGAGTCAACGCTGCCAGTATCTTGGGTACGCTGCCTCGACGTGCCGCGTTGGATTACAATGAGTTTTTGTGATTGTATGTATTAATGTATTATGTACAATATAATGTGTAAAAAAAATATTAATTAAAAAAAAGTTACATATAAGCACTTTTGAATAATCATCACTTTTTTTTAATCTACCGCTCATTCGGAAAGCTATCTCATCATAAGAAGAACGCGCAAGAAACTTGCGTGTTGCTCTTTTAAATAATTTAGTTGCAACTTTAAACGTGTCATAACTCAGTACTGTATTGTGAGTGGGGTGTGGTGTTACCAGGTACAGCGGATAGCTGAGCTCAAGCCCCATTGGTGGCAGCCCCTCCTGACAGCGACGGGGATCTCAGTGAAGAGGAGGAAGATCCTCTGCTTAAGATTTACAGATGGTGCGTTTAATGAGGCCTCGTCTATCAACGCAGAAATTAATCTATGTATTTCGATGTGCTGTATTTGATACTATGTTTACAATTAATCAATTTACAGTAATCCCCCTGTACGTTAGATTGGTTCCGCGTTATAAGAAAACGCGTTGAAGGAGTATGTCTGTATAATGCGTTTTACGACCCCGTATAACGCGTTACGTACGTTAGTCACGTTTCATTTTTCTGGCTAAAACGAGTTTAAATCGACTATTCAGGATAAATTGCATTAAGAACGAAATATGTACGTTTTTTTAAAATCAAAACTAAATTATGACCATCATAAATAAAAAACTTATGCATTTGAACTACAAAACGCGTTATATGGGGAACATCCGTGTTATACAGGACATTGAAATCCGCGTTATATGAGAAGCCGTATAAGTATGGCATGTTATAGGAGGATTACTGTATATGTCTAGGTAGACGCTTTCTACCTTAAGTAATCAATATGTTAATCAATGACTGTCCCTTTCATATTAACGTCAATGTTCACGTACGTATAGGCTATAACGTAGTATGTACGAACCATATGATATTATCTCTTATTGGAGTGATCGTATATTTGATGTATAAGTAAAAATATCTAAAAGAATCTGTAAGGCTGCCAAAGCTCTTCATTTGAAATATATGAATATGGTAACAGGTAACATTAACATATGAGTTGAGAACGGACAACGATATTATTATTGATAAAAAATGAACAAATTTCTCAATAATTTGATGATCTTCTCAACATTTCCTTTCAAAGCTACAAAATCTTTGAATTCGTCATCTAATCTAGCTTTTAAAAATTACTATTAATTGCGTCCAAGACTTCAAGTTTTAAAACATTAGTTCCTCCTGTACAGTAAAAACATTTTACTCACTCAACCTGAAAGGAACTAAAGATATTTGGTGTAAGTCACTTAAAGTAATTAAATCAATAATATTGATATACACTTAGTTAACATAACTATAATTATTGTAATGGGTGAGTATTGTGATTAATATTGGCTGTGTTCTAAAATTTACTGTACTTAGTGGAGTAACTTGAATCAATCATACATTCTCTAAAATCCAAAATGTAGTAGAGTTGGGCCGTTTCGTTGTACTTCCTCTTAAGTGATCGAGTACAATGATAGTTGGCTCATACTCGTGAACGGGTGCTTGTGGAACAGGTCTGTTCAAGCTATGTGTACTGACCGAATTATAGCCATTTAATGAAAAAAATAATGTAATGAATACTATATTCGTCCTAAACCTAAGTTGTAAAATGTGTGTATTATTATAATGATCTACAATGGTATTTGAAAAGAATTAAGTCAGATTTTCTTGTCAGTTTCTCTTGGCACTAAATAAATTCAGAACTTACGGTAGATTTGACTTAACATAATAAGATCTAAATGAATGAAGTTAAAAAATATGCAATTTATATTTGTATATGTGTATTTAACTTGTTAATTTTGTTTATTGAACGTTTAATGTTATCTCGATTATTATTTTTTTGATCAAACGATAATTTTCTTTTGTTTTGAGAATTAATTTTATTTTTGGATCCTGAAACTATCTATTATTTATAAAAAATATGCAATTTATATTTGTGTACTTAACAAATATTTGTTAATTTTTTTTTGTTAAATCTATAATGATATCTCAATTATTATTTTTTTTGTTCAAAAGATAATTTTCTTATGATTTGAGATTTTTTATTTTTGTATCCTTAAGCAAAACTTGAACTCCCTAATATACCAAAACGGTTAATTAGTATATCAGTTCGTGTTCATAAATCAGAATATTTAACAATTTGGCGAAGACATTCACCTGAATCCGAAGTTTTGGCCCATAGTTTTACGTTCTTTACTTTCACCTTCATTTGACTTATATTTTTTTTATTAGTATAGAATTGCCGAATTTCTTGACATTTTGTTGGAGAAATCTAGACTAAATGTCAAATATAACTATAATATAAATGGATGAGGACTGATTTTCCGATAATAAGTAGTCCTTGATGAATTTTAATCGGAGTACTTTTAGGCTTAAAATAAAACATATTTTAGATTAATATTAAAATATAGCAAGAGGTATGGCTCTCTGCTGACTGTATATAATGCAGTATAAATTACTTTTTAGGGGACCTAGTGTGACGTGGGGTGGGTGAGGAGGATGAATTTCATGGCATCACATCTGAGTATAATCCAAAATTTATGAATTAAAGATATAACTAAAAACATTTTCATAATATTCGATAACATTGCGTCATAGTTACACCAGTCAAAGGAGTTTTTCAATTATTTATTCAACTTTATTGACCAATAAATTCCGAGTATAGGTATTCTCTATCAGTCAACCTTATGTTTATTATGTGTATAATTATTAATATGGAATCAAAATTTATATTCAGTTTTACTTTAATAATTTCAATAATTCTATTACTGCTAATAATGGTTTTGAATTAGATTTTTGAACTAGTTTAACTTGTGAATTCGCTCAAAATGACTTGGTATGGTATAATGTTTGTGAAGTGGGCAGTTACATTAAAATGGGCTACGTCTGAAATGTTACAAGAAATCACCAAAATCATGACCAATAATAATAAGGACGGAAGAAGGGGTAAAAAATAATTAAAATCGTGTGACGTAACTAAGTTGTAAAAATTCAAATCATCACTTGTTTTCATCAAGGGCTCCAAATCTGTGACTGAAATTAAATTCAATCTACTTGAAAGCATCAATTGTTGAATAATATTATCAATATTCTTTTTAAAACTGTTTACGTAAGCGTACAAAAAATAGTGTTGTAATATTTAAAAATATTACACTATTTTTTGTAGGGTACTGGCGCGCACTTTCTTGATCAGTGGTTTGTTCATTTTGGATTAGTAATTTCCAAATCTATAAGCCTCATGTATACGATCATTGTATCTAATATACGAAATTCATTACTTATAATATTAATTGGATAATCATAATCATTTATAGGTAATAAGGTATTTAAAATACATAATATTAGTGTTTAGTGTCTATTATATGATGAACCCGATTTCATGTCTAGTTTGAACTAAATTGATAAGTATTAAGCTTGAAGCGTTTAGGCTATACTAGGTGAACTTCCTGTGATGTATGACGTCGCGCATTTAAATGCGAGGAATGAACAATAGGTTAAGACCAGTGGAAGATAAGATGAACATCAGGTAAGGTCCAGGGGCACCGCGTGGAGGTCAACATGACACGATACTTGCTGATGGTCTCATAAGACCACATTACTAGCAATCCCGGTATACCCCCTGGAAACAGGTTGTCAGTGCTAAATTAGTAGATCCTTAGTCTTAGGATGGCGATGATCTCAGTTTGGATTACGTGAAATTAATTGAGCCTGAAATCGGGTTACGCCGGTAACATATATACCGATTACTTACACCTAATTACTATTTTGACTGAATGTCGTAGAAATCTGCCATTACTGCAGTATTGACTCTGATCATGTATGTTCTTTAATATTATTCGTGTAGTTTTCTGATGACACATGATAATGTGTAGTTGTCATGTATTACTTAATAAACATATACTTACATAATCACCAACATTCGTGTATGTTATTTAATATCCCTCAATCCGAAGTTTTAGCCCCCAAATACCGTTTATAAGCGAGGATAAGGTTGAGATATTACAGGATCGAGGCACACCTTAAGTTCTCCGAAAGAATGTTTCTCTCTTGTTCTGCGACTGTCGTCGACCTAAACTTCAGACTGTGTGTGACTAATTCATTACTCTTAATTAGTACTTTCTAGAAGTAGAAGAGTGAGACTGGAAATTGTTTCAGTGATGAGTCGTAGCATGGTAAGATGTATGAGTTCTTATAATTTTAAAAAAGGACATTAAATAAAAAGTGCCTGATATTTTATAACGATTTCGTTTATTCATTGTATAGTAGGTAAAAAATAGGCGATTTTGATGAGCGCTAGAATATGACAGGACAGGTTCAGCAGGCAGTGGCGACAATCAGCAGCGCAGGTTAGCGAAACCTTGAGGCGATTTTATGTTGTAATCAGAGTAAGCATGAAAGCATTTCTATTAACGTTTTAATGCTAATAGGTACAAATAATTTCAGTCGATAAAATGTGATTAAATAATAATGGGACGATTAATTAATTACTCTTAATTAGTTCTTTCTAGAAGTAGAAGAGTAAGACTGGAAATTCTTTCAGTGATGCGTCATAGCAAGGTCAGTTGGATGAGTTCTTATAGTTTAGAAAAATATGATTGATATTTTACAACGATTTAGGTACAAGTACCTAGTTGACAGGACAAGTTCTCAGCAAGCAGAGACGAGCACCGGCAGCGCTCATTTTGCCTAAATTTTAAAACCGTTTTTTTTTGTTGTAATTAGGGTAAGTATGAAAGCATTTTTATTAAAGTTTGATGCTAATTATAATAATTTCAGTTGATAAAATGTTATTAAATGACAATGGGATGATAGTCCAATAAAATAATTAAACATGATGTGACCAGTTTTGGCGCCATATATAAAAATAAGTTAAATTTACTTTTTAGCCTGTTGTTTAACTTAAATAAATAAAGAATAAGGGTTGTAAGGGGTTGAAACTTTGTATCGTCGTTTTTGAAGCAAGAAGCTTGAAAGTTACATTTTAGGCTATTAATTAAATATGAATAAAGAAAAAAGGGTTTTATGTGGTTAAAAGGAGAGATGAAGGATGGCTTGGAAGTATCGTCATTTGGAGGTTAGAAGCTTGAAACTTCTTTTATAGGGCGTTAAGTAGTAGTACTTAGTAGTAGGTATATTTTATCCACAAGTGGATAGGCAAAGGTACGAGACCATACTTAATTAAATATCTATGATTGACATGAAAGATATGTATTTATAAAAAGTATGTGAAAATGTTACCCTTAAGGACATAAATTAAATTAGGGGATAAAGGTTTGTATGGAAAAATTTTTAAGCTAGAACGACGAAACTTTTTGAAGGTACGAGAATTATATTAATTATAATTTATAATAATTTAAAGTCAGCTGAACAATCTGTATAAGAGGAAATATGAATATTAGTGCTTTTTTTGTGTGATTCGCGCGCTGCGTGGTTGTTGTACCTAACATTTTTTAGTTAACAAACAAGGCAAATTAGTTTTTTAATTTTCGTGGCTAAACAACAGCAGATATTGAAAAAACGAAGAGGATCTTTTTTGTGCAATATTCTATTATATTTTCTCTATAGCTTTTATTTGAAATATTTTGTCATCTTTCTTATCGTTATTGAGTTATTTTTAAAAAAGGCGTATATCCTTTCCCTTTCCCGTCAACTTAAATAAAAAATTTCTTTCTGAATATTATTATTCACGTATTTCCGGACTTATTTTGATATATATTGCGCCCAAACTGGTCACATGGTTTAATTTAATATTTTATTGAACTACGAGTAGGATATTTGTCGTTTCTATCGATAAAACTGGACATTTGTATTAAATAAAGATTGTGATAATCTTATTTCGTAGATTAATTCATGCTCAATAAATGTCCAGACTTGTGGCGGCGTGGTGGGCCGTGTCGTTGGGCTCCCTAAAATATGGTCGAGCGCAGTGGTGGCTGGCTCATCCGTCATACTCGTGAACTGGTGCTGCTTGTAGGGACTGGTTTGCTCTAATCACTATGACTGATTTCCTTTTATTAATTGTTTAACCAGTTGGTTGTATATTCAATATTTTTCTATTTGATTATTTAATTAAATTAGTGCTAATTGGTAGTTTGTAATCACACACTTAAACTTAAAAATGTAAAGTAAGAATATAATTATTTAAAAGAACAACACCCAAGTTTCTTGCTCGTTCTTATTGTGATAAGACAGTTTCCGAATGAGCGGTAGATTAAAAAAAATGTGATAACTATACAAAAGTGTCAAGTTTTAAGTATGTTCGTTGCCTTTTTACCTATACTGGATTATTCGCTTTCAAACCCGTCATACTCGTGAACGAGTGCTGCTTGCAGGGTCTGGTTTGATCTAGTCACTATGACTGGGGGGAAGGGGATTATTAGTAATGTGGACTTATGACCCCATTACTAATAATGTACCATGTCAGGTTGTCCTCCACGCGGTTCCCCCTGGAAACCATCGTGATAAATTCACTAGGACTTAACTAGGCTAACTAACCTGACCTCATGCTCATCTTATCATCCTCCACTGGTGCCCCGCGAGCGTAAACCGTTAGCGCAGACGGGTGCACCATTCCATTATCATCCACAAAAAAAAAGTCACTATGACTCATTCACTCTTATTTAGTTACTTAACTTTAATATTTTGACTCTAATGAATTTGTGCAAGTTGGTAGTTTCTATTCACACATTTCAACTTAAAAATGTAATGTTACAACTAAATTATTTAAAAGACAAAATTTTGTGATCGTTCTTATGATGAGACAGCTTTCCGAATGAGCGGTCGATCAAAAATAATAAGTAGATCTAATTACTATTTAAAAATGCTTCAGTGTAAGTTATTTGAATAAAATTAAATGATTTTCTATTCTATTCTTATAAAGATTGGAAAGGGTTTTAGAGGATAAATGAATGGAAAATAACAAAAGATGTCTATCGGGCAAGATTGAGTGACTATGTCGGTAACGGTTGTCTTAGATGGACGTAGTTAGATCAAATAGGTGACGGGTTCAAAAAGGTTCAGGTTAAAAGCATTTCTCATGGGCGGGAAATGTCAAGAAATTGAAGAATCCAGAGAAAGTGAAGGAAAGAAGTGTTAGAATCGGAGCTGGTGTTTATCAAAATAATGACTTCGGTAAGTTATTATTATAACTGAATAACTCAAATATATTTGCCCTTACGTAATCATTTAGTACTTACGTTTATCTTAACTTTATAAGTAATCGAGCAAATGTCTTCAATCACGTCTTCTACAGATGTTCAATATCCAATAAAAGGATTGCTATATTCAGTTCTGACCCACTTAGTCTTCTAATAAAAAAAAAAAGCGAAATGTCATTGAAAATAGTCTGTCCTATGCATTAATGGAGCATACTTACTACGTAAATATTTATTTATAAACTTTAAGGTTACTGATGTCAATTACATACAATGCAACAGACAGAAATCTACACAGACATACAACTCGCTAGCCAGTGGCGACCTAAGGGTGTGGCGAACAGGGCCCGGGGCCTCGTGTAACAATCGAAAAAAAATTAAACAACCAGTGGCATTTTGCTTAGTGGTAAGTTACAAAAACTTCCTGATTTAGGCATTTAATTTTACATTTAAAACAAGGCATAGTTATCTTGAACGCTGATTCAAAATATCTTTCGTTATTTTCCAAACATGAAACCTTTCCAACGCCTTTTCAATCTGTATAAGAATAGAAAATAGAAAATCATTTATTTAAATAAACTAATATTGAAGCATTTTCAAATAGTAATTACTTATTATTTTTAATCGACCGCTCATTCGGAAAGCTATCTCATCACCAGAATAATGATCAAAAAATTTGCTTGTTGCTCTTTTAAATAATTTAGTTGTAACGTTACATTTTTAAGTTGAAATGTGTGAATATAAACTAAATGTTTCCTCATAATTGTTTGCATCACATATTTTTCACGTAGATAATACAAAGGGCTTTGCAATTCCCAGAGCCTTGCAACGTGTAAGGCCTCTGTATAACTACCTGTATCTAGATCGGTTGAAAAATATATTAATAAAAAAAACACAATATCACATTAATATTTTTATTGATAGTCAGAAACTACATGAAACATTTTGGTTACATTGAGTACATTGATTAACTATAGTATATACGGAGAACATTACGGAATATATGAATCAGTAACTGGCCTAGATCTAGGAGTAACATGCAGAACTATTAAATATGGATATATAAGTAAACGTTCAGATTACACGGAGTGTACTAGTTACATATAACACCAATAAAATGTAATTATCTTAACAATCATTTACGAAAGTACCTGTGCCTTCTGTGTATGCACCCTAATCGTGAATAACAGCCTTTACAACAAACGCCATTGCTCTAAGTAAAGCAATCTTTAATTACTATGTGATACCGAATAAATCAATTAGTATATGATTTGATAAATAACCACGTAATATAGAACTAATATGATGGTAGATTTGATTGTAGGTAGGCAGTTCAAGAGATTATCAGATTTTTCTTGGGGTTCCATATAAACTGAGATACGTCTTTTGCCAATATCCATTTCATTCTATGGTGCTGTGAATAGCTAAGACAAGCTTCTACAAAACACGTGATAATTTAGTCACGTGTTAACAAAGTACAGTTTACCTCATGACGTAATTGTCCTAAGATTTTATTACAAGTAATCGAATCGATGTCATTTCTTGTTGTAAATGTTGTCATCCACAACTGAACACAACACAGTCCTGCTCAATCAGTGAACAATCTTGAACAACTATTATAACTATTATCTTAAAGAGTTTCATAGTGACATAAAAGAGTAATTGAACTATTCAAGTATATTCTGTTAACAACAAACACTTATCTATGAATATATTTTATTTGTTAAGACAATTCAAAATCTATGACAGATAGATGGAATATTTTAGTTAATCGACTTCATCGACTGAATAATTAGATACCTAATAAATTACATTAGGTGCTGTAATAATGTAATTTAAATAGGTATCTGTATATACTTCGGTATATAACTATAGTATTACTAATGCACATCGACTACGGTGCAAGTTAATAAAACACTTGATCAATTAGAAGTACACCATAGTCTCAAAGCTGAGTTAATAATCGAGAATCTTATCCTTTTTCTAGTAGAGTAATTAATATACTGATATAATATCACGACAAAAGCGACAAACTAAAACATTACATCTACTTCTAAACAATTTGCATTTTAAACTTCTGGTTACAATTTCTATTTCTCCAATAATTCTTATATTATAGATGTACTGATAATAGCATATTATATTAACTGTGATAATAGTAAAGACATCGAGATAGGTACAATTATTGTAATTATAATTGTATAATCAAAACATGCATATTAATATTCATCTATGACTATCAGTAGTAGTATGTACCGTAAAGATATAGAATAAATAATAATACAGTTTACTCGTTCCATATTTTTTCCATTCGTTGCAACGTTGATATTAATGTGATTTTAAATAGATATTATATATATACTAGATAACGTCGTTACTGCAGTTCCTGACTGCCACTAGGTTTTAAAATTAAACAGTGTTCTATATAGAAACAATAACATATAAGTTCCTCCATTATCTTTAAGAACACTACGCAATACGTTGCATTTTGATCACATCATAAAAATACAATAACAACTAGTTATATATCGTCAGTGAAGTTCTAACAGTGCGTAAGTAAAATGTCTAGGTACATTACAACAGAGCAAATAAGACTGTATAACATAAAAAGTTGTTGCAATGAAGGTATAGCTGGGATAAAGTAATTAAAATAAAATTTCTCACTGCTCAACTTTTTTCTGATCCGTTAAAAGAAGCGTATCATGTTTCTTCACCAATGCCTATTAATACTACCAAAAAAGTAGTGCCGCACTGCTAGAACTCCACTGACGTTATGTATAAAGAAATTGTATAAAAACCTTATATATACTAAATAGACAGGTACATATATAGTAAGTAGAAATACTGAAATGTGATGATGTATAATCATCCTTAAAAGTACTTAATACATATTTACTGGCATCTACCATTAAAACTAGGCTTAGGTAATTATAGCGATTTGAAATGTTGAATCGCACAGAACATTTAGATAAATAACATTTAAGTAGCGACTATTTTATAAGATACAACATTTTTTTTTCAATAACTAATACAAAGTCACTCACAAATTATGATTAACTTGTCTAATGTGAGCAGTGACTCAAAGCTGGTATACTAATATTGTGATTAAGAATTTCCAATTTTTAGATATACCTATAAAGTTTATAATTCAATAAATAGCAACATTAAATTATTTCGACAATTTCCAATGAGTTCATTCTTAACATTGCATAAAATAATACAACTACATAAAACAACTTCCCAAAAAGATCGCAACATATTTTTCGATTAACTTCAAACAGTATATGAATATAGCAAGTAATATGATTATTATCTATTTAAAGGTCCATGTCCATCACATCACATTTCCTATGCTCAAACTACGCACTAACACACTGAGGGCCTGTAAACTGTTCATATCAAATATATCACTCGAAATATAATTCAGCGTCTGCTTCTGCAGATGAACCCCCAATGACAGCACCATCTGTAAAGCTTACGTACTTGTGTCCGCATCCGTTCCACTCACTGTCGCGACTTGCTGCGGCGTTGATGTCAGTCGCCTTTATCATCCTTGCGTTTGGGGCTCAACGATCGCCCGCCCTTGTGCCTGCTGACATGACAACTCCGTCACACCTATGCACTATTATGACACTTTGCACTACACTGCAATGCACGGTGTCACACTTGCATAACGTGAACGGTAACACAAAACAACCTTTCATTACATCATCATAAGGTGTATGTAATACTATCAGTTTAAACCATTAATGTCCTCTGTTGGAAATAAATAGTGAGAAAGTTATTATTTACCAACTGCTTGTACATGTGACATGCTACCTATGTATATGTTAATGATTTTAAAAACGATTATTTATATGATCAATATGTATCTTGTTCTTGAAAATATATAGTCATATACTGCCCTAAATATATATTGGACCGTAATTAGAAGTAAGTGTACCTATTTGGTAATAGTTAAGCAATTTTAAAGTGATTATTTATCAAATATAAATAGCAAATATTAAGCGATGTGTTCTTGTAATGAATCTCTGTGTTAATAATAGCTGCAACAAAAGTGGGATTGCATTGTGTTGATCTCCTTATTACGGGCCTGTTTAAACAAATAATAATAATATATCGATACTTTTTTATTCCAGATTTTGTATTCATAATTCTTACCTTGCTGTAACGCAGTTAGCTAACTAGCACGGGAGGTAGATTTTTAACTGTATTCCTTAGAAATATTTTGTATTGTTTTATATAGTTTTATGAAATGTTTTTGTGGAGAAAAAAAATATTTTATTAATTTATAAAGTCTCTGACTTCTGAAGTAGGTATAAAAAATACCTGTGTTTCAGAAGTTAGTGTCCTCTTCCATATAATGGTGTACTTATTGAGTGAATTGGTCAGGACATTTTTACAATTTAAATAGACAGGGGTAATCGCTGGAAAGTGCGTATGTTTGATTGTATGGGTGTGTGTGTGTGTGTGTGTGTGTGCAGGTATCGGAGGGTGTGTACAGAACTTTGTGTGTTTTGTGTGAAATTATTTGCAGTCTAGAAAGCCTGTAGAAGGGTAAAATCGTATCAATTCTATTTGTTCATAATCTTATGTTAATAACCATTTCTTTAGATTGTTTTGCCCATATGGTATTGATAATTCATATTTAGTTCTTTATTAATATTGTACATATATACACACAAAAAAGTTGTTGGCGTACGCCATTTGATAGGGACTGGAACATTAGTTATAGTGCGTGAGTTTTTGTTGTCATTATTGTATTGAGTTATGTTATATTAATTTAAGGTCAAATAAAATGCACATACATAGTTGTCTAATCTAGACTCACTACCTACAAGTTTTTCGTATAAGGCTCTATATTGCCTGAAAGTCATATGCATTTTAGAAGCACCTCCTTATACTGTAATACGGTAACCAAATACTGACTGTGCTAGGGTTTAATGTAATGTATATAGCTTGCAATAGATTTAAATCTACCACATTTTACAATTTTTTGAAGGTCCTATATATATATTATATAAGTCTCCTGATGCGCGAAATGATATGGTCAATATGCATGCTTGTATTACTATCCAGTATCACACCTAGGTAGCGTATCTGAGATGCTTCAGTGATAGCAAGACATGAGCAGTTCTTTTGCGATGGGATTAAGTCGCATAACTGAATATTTAAATAAATGAAAAAAGATATCTATGTATTTATCAGTTATATAGTACCCATAACACAAACTTTAGCTAGCTTAACTTGGGAGTAGATGGCGCTGTGTGAATGTCCTGAGATTATTATTATTAGGTCTGTTTGTAGGGTTTTATAATAGAAAACGGTATTACGTTTTAGATGAATTTAAGGTAATATAATTTCTTTTTAGTCAATTATTAACTCTAAGGAGTATAAAGGCTGTACGATCAGCATGTCTTACAACATTTTCCTTGTCTAATTGTTGTTGACATAAATCATTTATGTATATTAGAAATATATTTGGTGCTAGAATACGCCCCTGAGAAACAACACAGGTTATTAGGATGGGACCTAACTGCCGTAATTTCTATATTCGCAGATATTTACTTGTTGTGTGCGATCGGTTAATTTTTTTTTTGTATATCAAGAGCATTTCCTCTCACTTCGATTCTCATAATATCCAGAAGCATAGGAATAGAAACCTTGTCAAAGGTCTTCCAATTATCTACGTGATTTATCAATTGGCTAACAAATTCCAAATTGGCATGCGGAATTAATTTTTTTATATTATAAACTTTACAGGTATTCAATAAAAGTGTATTTATTCAGATTAATAACACATTTACTGTACACTTGTACCTTGTACCTTGTACTTGTAGTTTACGTCTCCAGATAACATAGATTTAAATTAAGTCTAAAACAGTCCACGTTACGACTCCGCGTCGAATGTACGCGTTACTAATAAACCATGTAGCAAACTATCGAATAAACTTACTAATGTACAATAAGTAGTACAATCATTACACTTGTGTACTCACTACGGACATTCTACAATAAACAAATTAATTATGTAGTGGCACCTCATCACATCATAATGCTACAGTAGTGAGGTGATAACTAGTACGCTACTGTACCTACACAAATTTTAATTACTAATAAGAAAATCATTAACAGAAACTCATAAATATATATAATTAAGAGATGAAAAGATATATTTTTTTTAATAACTAGTTCAGTTGCCATGAAGATTTACTTGCCTTTAAAATAAAAATAGTTGACCCCTCTGAAGATGTTCTGTCTTAGCTATGAATATTGACTACGTATTGTATTGCATCGTAATAAGCAGACTTTAAAGAAAACCAAACCACATTAACTTTTTTAGTGTTCCGCGATGCTTTAATATTAATAATAAATATCTTAATCTTAATAATATTTAAACGCGAAAGTTAGTAAGTATGGGTGTTTGTAACTCTTTCAAAAACTACTGTACTGTAATCAGAATTTATACTGAAACTTCACCCGTGTGAATTTGCGGGCACAGCTAGTTCTAAGTCAATAAGAAAAAAATTATCGAAATAGGTCCAGCTCAATCGGCAGAAATCAAACTAAAGTTTGTGTTCATTTGGTGATCCTGAAATTAATCCCAGTATAGATTCTCATGTAAGATTTCAGGACGTTACACTTAAGGTGCAGTTGTTTTCGAGCACTGACTCGCCTACTTACGATCTTCTCTAAGAATATTGCAAGTGCTATGAATCCAATACATAGTCATTAATGAAACGAGGCGCGAAAAGCGATGTTTCAGTAATCAAATAAGTAAATATATTTCAACTAGCTGCTATGCGTAACTACTGCTATTTATTTGCCATTTACAAAGCTTTATGAGAATATAAAGGCCTGATGCGATCTACACCTCTCATCAGAGGTAATGCTACAGCTAGTCGTAGATCTGGTGACAGGCGTACAATTTGAGGCAGCTACGGATAAGTTACGAATTTGGTGGATATTCTTGCCTTGTAAACGTCATCAACCGCCAGCCCCTTAATTGTCATCCCTCGATTTTGGAGTGCCAGCCGCCCGAGCTGAAGAACGAACTGACAAACGGTAATGAGCCAAATTACAAAGACTACTCACTGCCATTGCTTGCTTTACTTACAAAATGATGTTTACATGTATCATCATACTGTTATTATAAACGCGAAAGTTTGTGAGTATGGATGGGTGTTTGTAATATAACTTATATATCAGAATAACATATAGACTAGAATTTAAAAAGATATTATGTAAATTGGGCGTATGTGTCAAATAAGTGTACCTGCAGATGAAATTGGGCGGGTCAGCTAGTGTAAGAATAATTGAATGAAGAATAAATTAATTATTATTAAAAGAAGTGTATTTGTTAATAAGAATATTGCTCAGTACAGTAGCCCATATTATTCCGTACGTTGATTAGATATAGACTTCATAATAGTAATTAAATATGTAGATATAATTTCGTAAATATTGTTATAGGACTTTTGTGTATTATATTTCTTGTGTTAAATATCTAATGAAAGTAATTTATTGCTGTATTGCATACTGCATATATAAAAATACAAGACACAACAACTAAATATGAGTGTGTTTATAAATGTGTTACATTGTGTTACATATCTATATGTATAATAATAAATATTACATTAATCCTTTAGTAAATTTGAAAGTAATTAAGACAGATATCTAAATTAACGCGTCGAGAGATAGATAGAAGATATCTAAAGAATAATTTTCTGTACTTGTTAATTAAATGCACCCTTTAGATAACCACGTTGTCGGAAATATGATTTATGCAAAGCATGTTAGACGCACAAAACCAGTATATTGTTATTCCATACCTACAAAATGACATCAACAATCATGCCATACAAACGGCTAAAACTAATATAATCACTAGAAACGTTACCTGCTGCTAACATGCTTAGACTTCTTGTCTTCCTTGCCGACGCCAGAACCCGAAGCCACTATGGGACTGGTAGAGCCCTTCTCGTTCTGTGCCTATCCGAACACAAATTATTAATAGTTAATAAAATTTATATAATTTCTGATGGTTTTGCTGTGGACTTGGAAATTATAACGTCGATTTGCCCGCGGAGACTCCGTTCGCTACAGCTCCAGCGCCTGTAGGAATATCTAGAACCTTCTTATAGGTTAAAACAGCAGTTATTAAATAAACTGCATGATTTAGAAGATTTTATGTCAGAGAATATGTGTGCTTGTAAGCATGTATATTACATTACGTTTAAAATGAAAGCGAGACCTTTCTATAAATTCGTGTGTGCATGAGTATTTCTGTCTTACCTGTTTCCTCTGCTACTAACTATGAAGCATTAGACAAGGCAAAGAGAACTCAGTATACCAAGGCAAATAGTGACGTTACTCAATTCCCAAAATAAAAGTAAGTTCTAAAAATAAAACCTGGCTGCTCAAAAATCCCGCCCTAAAATGTTACCGTCCTGTAAATGTTTATCCGTAGAATAAATATACATAGTTTTGTTGGTGTATGTAACGGCTTACGACTATGGGTGACAAATTGTTGTGTTACGTTCTTCTGTGTGACAGGAATTAGTTTTTGAACTTACTTATTTACTTTATTATATTTAGCTATATTTGGTTTTTGAGTAGATTTATAGATACTACCACAAATATAATTTTAGAAATTATTCCAATTTATCGGGTGCATGCAAGCAAAGCCGGGTACTACAGCTAAGAATATATATATATTAAAATGTGCTAATTAACTCAATGGATGGATGTCAACTCCTTTGAGGGTTTCAAACCTTTTTCCGTTAATTTTCCTATAAATTGAGCCCACATTTTGCAGTGCAAATAGCAGACTTATGCAGGTTTGTAATAAAGAAGCATTTACTTTCGCCTGTTGGCTCGTGGAAGGACCAGCTTCAGCCTGCAGTTGGGATTGACTGTTTACGTGACCCATCTTAGAGAGCGGTGGGTTCTTGAATGAATACGAAAATGCCAATCCACGTTTTAACGATGCTCTGTAAAGGAAGTAGTGGTGTATCGTGTTAATTAGACGCTGATACGATACCATCTTCTTATTGGTTATATATTCAAAACAAAATAAGGGCAAACATATATTTTAAGTATTCTGGACGAACTGAACGGCTCTGAGTTAGGTTAATCTGTTTTTTTAAAAACACAATTAATATGTAATAGATCTTCACATGGTACATTGCTTGGGGTCTTAGTCTAGTTAGAATTGCTAACTATCTCCTGCCCCTGTTCAATAGGGTATACACAAACCCTGAAGCCAAGAATTTTCTATTACTTCTCTAGTAGTTCTGGCTGATATGTATGGGCATGTACGTTGTCGTACATAAACCGCTCATCAATTTATTATGCAAATAAAACATCGAGGAAAACCTATGTAAAATTATTGTCGTGGATACAAGCATCTGAAAATCAACGTTCTTGTCTGTAGACCCTAATGCGCCAATGATCACTGGAAAACTCGGGTTTTAACTTGTCTGTAAAAAATAATATCCTTCAATCACTCGTGCTTCAGTCTAGATATTGCTTGATGAAAGATAATCAGTTTGCATAAAGGACTACTATCAACGAAATCCGTAAGTACTACGCGATGAACATAAACAGTGTTCCTCCTGCACACTCATTGCACTAATCGTAACTGATATTCCCCTAGTATCCTCAAGTCGATGCAATAAAAAAGAATCTGCTGAGCTACATAAATTTACTGAAGTAAGTCTGGGTACAATTTTTTCCCGAAACAATGCAACATATGTGTATTCTTCAGGTATCGGAGAATTTTGAAAATGAAGAAAACACGCACGGGACTGAAGAAATGTAAGAAAGAAGAAGAATTTCGAAATGAATTTTATTCACAAAATCTATGAATATATAATTTACCAACATACAACCAAAAGCCCAGATTACTTAAAATACATGGTTGAGTACTTTGTTCTGAATATTATATATATATATATATAAATATAGGTGTGTAAACCTTTTAAGTGGATGATAGTGTTCCCTTGGTTGCAAAAACCATAAAAACGTCCGTCAGATTGGGTTGGGTTTTTGTAACCAAAGCCACATTGTTTCTGGCTTTCCCTGCACCTTAAAATGAATTATTATTAAAGATATATAATACCTGGTTGGGCTGGGTGGTGGGTAACTTGTACCACGATGATCTGGGCTCAGGTACTGATGCTGTTGGGTGGCTGAGAGCCGGTTGCGTTGCAGCAACTCCTGGTGCGATTGGTACAGCTTCTCAGATGCCGATTGTTGGCTGGGTCTATTAATATAAAATTATTTTTATTTTATTGGGTTGTTTGGGCTACTGTAAGGTGTCTGGGATATTATCACTATAGCATTGCGACCTACATAGATCTATTGTGCTCGCCCATTTTCAGAGTTCGCTACCTAGACCCGTCAGGGACAAATATTGAAGTTCTCAGGAGCGAGGGTTTTTATCTCCTCAGGATACAGTGTAAACTTTCCAAAGGAGATATTATATTTATGCATGAGTGGGCTACAATCACATAGGATGTGTAGTGGCGTTTCCTCTTCAGTTTGGCAAAATCTGCAGATGCAATTATTAGGTTACCTTATTAAATATTTTATATATAGTCTTATTATAACCTAGTTTTCTAAATAATTATTTTGCAACTGTTTTACTTATGTATGTGTACCTATAAGAAATACATATACACATATGTATGTCAAAACAATAAAAAAAAAAAAATTTAGATAATATGTTAGTATAAGTCTTGCCAAAGAGTTATAAAAATTTAAAACGTACCCATGAGTGGGCCTGGACTGTTCTACGGTGAGATCAGGGAGGCTGTGCACGAGTGCCGTCACCGTATTATGAGGCTGCACCCGCAGAGTGTTATGGCTGGAGCTGGAGCTGCGCAGCGACGGCCTGTTCGGAGATGAAGGCTTCGACAGCTGAAAATACGTCTTATGAGAACATTGCGGTCGACCGATATATATTAACATGTTATAAATTAAAAAGCGGTTCTCTTTACCTATTTGATAATAGTTCTAGTAAGTTTATTAGTATATACTGGTATATAAATAGGAGAGAATAAATATTAGGTCGTAAATATTTCTAATATTTAATGAAGAAAGAAACAGGCATAAGCCCTTTTTAAATAAAGTTAATTAAATAAATATATTATGTAGTCAGGATTAACAGATTTCACATAAAGTAGTGTAGTCAAAATTTATTTAGTTTTGTATTATTTAATATCTTTTCAATAAAACGACACCTCACATAAAACATGTCAATTTATATTGACTGCTATATTGTTGGCCGTTAATTCCTTCTTTTTTATTACACGTTTATCGAATAGGGTCATTTAATCGCCTCACGGCAATATAAATGCTCTAAGTATTGTCCAATACATAAATCGCGAAAATAAAATAATAGTAATACATTAAAATATAAAGGTTCGAGCTTACGACAAGATTCTGTTATATTAACAAAAATTAGACTCTTTTTAGAAATTATATTTTAGTTCATGATATAAATAAACAGTTGGAAAAAAAAAATTCTGTAAGCATAAGGTTCTAGATTTCTAATTTCGTTAATATTTTATGCGGGACAGAATAAAAAAAAGTTTGACGAAGTAACAGATATATCTATTGTTTAAAAGGTCAGATTGTCCCGTGTCCGACCTGTTCAAAATGTATGTTGTTATTTATTAGATTTATATGGTTTATTACCGCTGCTTGTGAACATGGCGAGGGGACCACAGTTTCAGATTCACTCTCGCTGACCACGTTAACGGTGATAGACGTTGCAGCTGCAAAGAAAATAATAATTAAATATAATACATTAAGAATTATGGATAATCGGGTAAAATCATCTCCTTGATATATAGATAGATATTAATTATAAACTTGCGTCAAAGAGCACAAACGCACCAAGGCACAGTAATAAAATAAAAAGTAGATTCATAATTACATTGGTAAGTTAACGAAATACAATGTAGGTACAGAAAACGTGTGAGGAACGTAAATAAATAAGTGAGTGAGTAACGTAAGTAAATGTGTGTGCATTGCATATGCAAAGAAGGCAGCACCTCAGTGTATTGTTTGTCGCAGAAATCGCAGATTTATTATTTTTTAATCATTAATTACTGTAAGCATTCATGACATCTTTTTGAGTCATTACATTACCTTATAAATTTTATGTAATTATTTTATCAATAATTTTCTATTGTGAGAATGGCGTAAGTCCGAAATCATATGTTATATATAAAATTCTCGTAAACAATGTTATTTATATTTATACATACAATACATACATACTTACACATACTCTTCCGAAACGGCTTGATCGATTTTTATGAAATTTTATATGCATATCAGTCGGAATGACTATGATGACTGAGAATTGCCTACTATCTATTTTTCATGGCCCTAAGTGGTAAGGGTTGTCCACCCCTATTTTTTTGGCTAATATATACATACTATATATAGATAATACATACATACTGTATTTATGTAAAAAAATTCACCTTTCTATCATCAACCTCTAGTTCTATAATATAATATAATTGTAGGTAGTATATATAGTCTTTGGTATAATCTATGTCTATATATAATATAATATAAATCAATATACTATAATATAATAGAATAAAATAAAAACTAAAATATAAGATTTTAGTTACGTTAGTAAGATATGTATTATTATATATATGTATATTCGACATATTATATATATATATATATAGAGAGACATCTTTCCGAATAAGTGGTAGATTTAAAAAAAAAATGTTGACTATTCAAAAGTGCTTAAATTAAGTTTATTTGAATAAATAATATTCTATTCTATTCTAGACATATTAAATTCGTTCTTTATAATTGCGATAGGAAAGACCCAAAGTTGGAAGATATCTAACATGAACAGAAGGGTACCCTGTCACTGTACGAGCGACAACCAACCGTAATTAAGGTAAGTAATTTAACCACATATAAGGTTACTATTTAGATACATTTTTTGTTAAATAATTTAGATTTGACAATATTGTTACCATCGTTACACCTCTACCAGATGCAAACGTAAACACTTCTCTCCATCCTAAGGTGTAACGATAAGGCCGCCCATTGTTACCTCTTTGTCTTGTTTATTATTGTTGTTGCTGGCAGTTTGTCTACCGGCGATCGACATTACAACGGCCTGAGCCGAGGTTCGAACCCCTAGAGGTGCCCTTAGACTAAAGTCGTATCCGTCAGGCGGGATTTCGCCTTCAGCCGCTCCATAATTCCTACCGCGGGTTTGGAGTGCCATCTGCACTATCAGTACTATAGCACAATTAATTAATATGTGAAGCAAAAACTTTGTACCTCTATATACGATCTTTGTAACTACATGTATAATTTATATAGATCACACCTACACAGATCAAAACATAAGTACAAATGTTTGTACTGTGCGAGGACTCGAATCCGCGACATTTGGAAGTAAAGTACTATGCTAGAACTGCGCCGTATCGAATATACTCGTAAATAAAGTTGTAACAATTGAAGATCGTAGCATCTGTAATTGTACGTTTGAAGGAAATTAAACCATATTCACACTAACACAGAAGCAATATTTGAACCTTATTATTGAATAGATATACTTATATTAAAGTTGTATTAAATAGAAATAAAATCACTCACCATCTTCCGGATTCATGGGTGGTATAACGTGCTCTACGGAGCTACCGGCCCTGTAGGTATGGCTTGGCCCTGCCTGCGGCTCATCATGGGAAGCAGCACTAGGGGTAAACGATTATAATTATAATTAATAGTAGGTCATAAAACACGCGTGCATTATAAACTCAAATAGTGAAATTATATTACATAGCTGCACTATTATTTTTATCAAATTTGGAAGGTACCGCCGCCCGGCGCCGACAGTAGGGCAGCGCGCAGATTAAAAAAATAAAACGGTGGGAATGCAACAGTTTGCATCACAGATTTATGGTTGAGATTATTTAAAAGCAAGAGTGTTGAAAAACTTTGTACAATAAACGTGCGTATTTAACACACTTCGCTCTATTAAATCATGTAATTTATATTTAAGTTTTTTTTAATTATCTACTTTTAATATATTATTTTTATATTTAAACTTGCTGCACCCGCGAGTTTCTTCGCGTGGAATTAAACTTTACTTTTCTAAAATAAAAGTAACCTAAGTTACTCCTTATTATATCAGCTATCTGCCAATAAACGTCAAAATCGGTCCAACCATTATAGAGATTAGCGGGAACAAACAGACAGACACACAAAATTAGTAAAAAATGTTATTTTGGTGTATGTAGCGTATTTATATTCATATGCATGTAGTAAAAAACGGTTGTTTCATTATTACAAACAGACACTCCAATTTTATTTATATGTATTGACTTTATTCCGCATGATAAGTCTTACATGTAGTAAGCCTTCTGAATATGCCATTTTTCAGTTTATACTGAACAGATTCATGTAGATTATTATTATTCTTTCTATTCAAAACATACCGTGATTATTACTGATTACGTGTTTACTCCCTTATGAGCGCTATGATGGTTTTACATATTTAATATTTAAATTTAAATAAATTTTTTTTTTAATTCTTATATTACTTATTTTACAAATCGTATGTCTTTGTAGTAAGAGCCTGCAGTAGTAAAATTTTTATCATATTAGTTTTACGATACCGAATGGAATTTGGCCAGTTTTATTGAACATACTGTTCGGGGCATGGAATAGGTTTATGAAACTAGTTGCATGCCTGTAGATATTGTAAGTACAAAAAGTGTTTTCTAGGTGTAAATGCCTGAGTTTGCACTGCCTCTGTACACCTCTCCTCTCTCAGACTTCAGCTTAACTATATTTTTAATTTATACGAGTAAAACAAATATGATTCACACGGCTTGTATAAAAACGAAATTAAAATATAGTAATAATATGTATAAATAACATGTAAAATTGCACCGTTAATCTTCCTAAATAAATAAATAAATAAAAAATAAATAAATATCATTATACAAAGATTTTCGTGATTGGTGGAAATCAATTTTTGAGATTGTCTACCATTTTATTCTTAACACAGTTATATTTTTATACTATAAACTGTATATTTTGCTACAGTCTACCTTACGTTTTGCTGCAAAATAGAGTTGCTATTACTAATAAAATCAGTGATTCCTAAAGTGGTACTAGGCATAAAATATATAGAATGTATTGCTATTAAGTTAGATATTAGACATCCATACCCGTAGTTTCACTGTAATATTTTGCAATTCAAGCCATTATACGTCGGAAAACTGCATGCAATCAAGCTGTTCGTTGTAGAAGCTGGTGAAATTTATACCTTTTGCTATAGTCTCCCTATTCTCAATGTTATATGAAAGATATAGCTACTCGACCCGGCTTTGCACGGGTGTACATGTGTTATATATCTAAACCTTCCTCTTGAATCACTCTATCTATTTAAAAAAATCTCTTCAAAATCCGTTGCGTACTTTTAAAGATTTAAGCATACATTAGGAGAGCGACAGCGACTTTGTTTTATACTATGTAATGATAATGAAGAATGAAAAACATTTATTGTCAACCAATATTAACAAACGTAAATGTACTTATATACGAACAATATACATATATGTACATATATATATATACAAATACATTACAAAAGACATATCTAATAATTAATGGTTGGGAGCATGGCCGACACTCAGCATTTGCCGTGACAGCTAACTGCCGCCGCAGCGCTGGTATTCTGTGCCTGCCATGAGTGTTTCTATTACCTAGTATTGTTGATATCACTTGGTATATTTACCTGGTGGATTGTTGGAAGCTGGATAGTCTTGAGTTCCTTGAGCTGCCACCTGTAGAGTTACGGTGCATTGGGTGCCGCAGACCGTGCCCACCTGCCCTGGCTCCTGGGCCACTCATACCTGATGCTTCGCCTGAATTCGGATTATTACCATATAATAGAAGTTAGTTTCATGTTACTTTTATACCTAAATTTGCCTACGGTTTACCTAAGTTAGATTTTGACGGTATGGTTCAAAAGTTTAATGACCTGAACACCTATACCGTATTGTCTCTTAAACTAGCTTATATCTTATTATAGATAAGGCCCCGTATTATCGCGAGGTAACTTTATGAACGAGTTTAAACTAAGCGTACTAACAAAGCAAGCAAATTCTCTAACTTTGGATGGGGCCTATTTAATTTACAATTAATTTACTCATACATAAAGGGTTGCTAGATTTTTTTCGTTGGTGAGCAATCATCAGTAAATACCGTTTTATATTGGTTATAAAAACTCAGATTCGACGAAGCCGACGCGCTTACTGTTAGTTCGTAATAAAGCGGGCCCCATAAAGATGATATACTTGTACCTACGAATAGGACAATGACAGTGGATAATTTCTAAAAATAAAAAGAAACTGTATCTATCGTTACAGAATACTAAAGATCAGGCTCATTTCCTTATTTTCTTTATATAATAATATAAGACCAAGGAACACTTTTTCTGCCTGTTCGCTCGTTGAAATTAAGATGGCAATACAAAAGTAATAAAAAAGCTACCATCAAAGGAGTCTGTGGTTATATAAAAATTAAGATTTTGTTTCACGTAAAAACAGGTTGCTACGATATGACTTTCGAAAAAATATCTTGTAAGACTAACAAGACGTTTACTACCATAAACGATAGAGTTGAGTAAGATTCAGACGGAAGTAAATGATCGAATTGAGATACTTATTGAGTAAGATTCAGACTGAAGTAAACGATCGAATTGATACTTATTGAGTAAAATTTAGACGGAAGTAAACGATCGAATTGATACACTTATTGAGTAAGATTCAAACGGAAGTAAACTATCGAATTGATACCCTTATTGAGTCAGATTCAGACTGAAGTAAACGATCAAATTGAGATACTTATTGAGTAAGATTCAGACTGAAGTAAACAATCGAATTGATACACTTATTGAGTAAGATTCAGACGGAAGTAAACAATCGAATTGATACACTTATTGAGTAAGATTCAGACGGAAGTAAACGATCAAATTGAGATACTTATTGAGTAAGATTCAGACGGATGTAAGATTCAGACGGATGTAAGATTCAGACGGAAGTAAACGATCGAATTGAGGTACTCTTATTTTAGAAGTTCGTTGGGATTGAGATGGTACAAAAGCAACAAAAAACTACAACTTACCATCAAAGGAGTCAGTGGTCATAGAAGCCTGAGAGATGTCGTAGTCGGTGGATGCTCCCATACTGCGGTGTAACATAGCAGCGACACGTTCGCGAGCCTCCCGTTCTATGTTCAAATCATCCGAACCCTGTCATCAACACAGTAATTAAGTTTAGATAGATACGTAGACAGATAGATAAGAATTTTTATTTGTATCTCAGTACACACATATAGGCAATAGAAATAGTATATTTTAGTATATTTTATGTAAAATATAGCAATACTGAAGTTTTAATACATAGAATATTTTGACTCAGGTATACTTACAAAAGTACTCCAGCGGTTTAGCGCACCGCCTTACTTCCGATGGTCGCGGGTTGTATTCATGAGTATGATTGTTTGTATCGGTCTGGGTGATTTCTATGTATATATCTAATATGTATGTATTTATAAAAAAAATATCTATGTTCACTTATCTAGAACCCATAACACAAGCTTTAGCTAGGTTAACTTGGGTCTAGATGGCGCTGTGTGAATTGTTCGGATATTATTTATCTTATAGATAAAATTCTCGTGTCACAGTTTTCGTTCCCATACTCCCCCGAAACGGCTTGACCGATTCTCATGAAATTTTGTGAGCATATTGAGTAGGTCTGAGAATCGGCCAACATCTATTTTTCATCCCCCTAAATATTAGGGGTAGTCCACCCCTAAAATTATTTTTTAGACAAAATTTTTAGTTTCCATTTTTTTATGATACAACATACAAAATTACATACAATCCTAAATTTTCACCCTTCTATTATCAACCCCTATTTTTTTATAGCGTTATTAATTTATATGCCAAAACAACGTTTGCCGGGACCGCTAGTTATATATAAAAATATCTTACTGTGTGAATTGGAAAGGGGTTTTTTTATTGTTATTTCGAATACCTCGATTAAAAATCAAAATAAAAATATCTTTATTCATGTATGTCTATTACTGACTCATGATATGTCAAATTTACCGTCAGTTCGGAATGCTTTCGAGATGAGAAGAACTGACAAGAAACTCAGTTCATATTCTTTTGATACAAAAAAAGAAAAATATTTATTGTCAACCAGTATTAACAAACATAAATATACTTATACATACAATATATACATATATGTACACACATATATTAGAAAAAACTTTAATAATGAATGGTGGGCAACATGGCTGACACTCAGCATTTACCGTGACAGCTAACTGTCGCGGTGCTGGTATTCTGCGCTGCCATGAGTGACTTTTCAAATATAGTTGTAAATATTTATGTATGTTATGATGTCATTGGTGCTACTAATCATTAAATTTATTATGGGGATGTGAAAAACCATCGGTTACCGGTTTAGCGCTGCCGCCGCTGACTGCATAGTCGGAAGACGAGTCCATTTCCACTTCCGAAAGGTCACGTGAGGGATTTTTGGCAAACCACACACCTAGGTCATATGTTAACTTGGCCTCTTTTATTTTCTGGTCCCATGTCTAAATTTTAATCAAACAAACAAATAATATTATTCACAGAGTATCCGATTCAAACGGAGATCGAAATTACGACGGCCTGAGCCGAGTCTCGAACTCCTAGCGGGCCCTCAGACTAAAGTTGCATCCGTCAGGCGGGAGTTGGCCTTCAGCTGCTCCATAAGTCCTTCGGCGGGATTGGAGTGCCATCTGCACTCGCCACCTATCGTCCGGTGAAGCTGTAAAGGCCAGCTGCGGCCAATAGCATCAGAGTAGTCCAAAAAAAAATGTATTAATGCTATTTATATTTATTTACGAAATTATATTAATATATCATAAAATGGGCTAAGTACACTGCATCATACGGAATAGATATCTTTAGAGACGACATTCAGCTGAAAAGAAAATTGAATTTAAGAATTTCATTATTTTAACTCCATTGCAAAAGCCCACAAAGTACTTACATTTAAAAAGAAACTAAAGGTCACATAAATATATTATAATTGTAATACAACTTTTTGTAATTTACGTATATCTTAATATTAATAAATGAAGAAAAGAAATTGTCTTTTAAATATTAAAGTAATATGCTTATTTACCTTGAGATATCCTATAATAATAGGCTCCTTGGTAGATTCTGAGAGCGAAAACGCATGTGTTGCCGAGCCGCATTCATCCAGAATCACAAATATCAATGCAGATATCTCCTTGGTGTTCCGATTGTACTTGGGGAAGTGCACTAACTTTTCCACCATATACTTCGGCCTAGAAACAGCAGGTATTGTTCTAAGCCTAACTAAACAAAGCTATACAATAAACTAAAGAAAACATTCGCATTTGAAAACGCGTTAAAACTCAAGTTAAAATAGATAAATTGTATCATTTAATTAGTATTAATGTCATTGTTACTGTAATATTATAATAACTATAGGAAAAAACATTCCGCTCAGACTTGAATATTACCTAATTATCTTGAGTGGGTAAGTGCTGTTTTTGGATAATTGTTTCTTGCAGATCAACAGCATGTCAGTTAGTAGATAAACATGGACTTCGATCTGTAATAAAACATGCTTTTACACGTGTAAATTAAATATTAAGAAATAAAAAGAATTTAATGCACAATTCGCGAAATTGAGGTTATGCATTCGCATTTAACAGCATTTATTTTTTTTAATATACAACAGCAATTTGTAGTCAGTTTATTATTTAATTAGCTCAGGAATGTTTACTACATTCTTGTACTTCATATATTTAAATAAACATCTAATTGTTATGTGAATAAGGCGGATAACTCTGAAGTCTACGCTAGAAAAAATAAGTAATATAATAATGATATTTAAATAAATATACAGCTCAAAAGAAATTATTCATTTTAAATTGTATACTTTTCTTTATCTGTTTTCAAGTACAGAATAGTAATGTAGAAATCAGAAAAATAATGAGTCTAGCCTCTATGACTGACAATGAGATCTAGTCAAATATTCAATAACAAACGGACGGAGCTATAGAAAGATTATTTGAAGCATCACTTTTACAAATTGCTGTTGGAATAATATTAAATTTATCGGATGCATCCGAACCCCAGAGAACGCCAGCGGAAGAAATAAATAAATGTAAGCCACTAAAAATATTATGGAATTAATTTGGAAATATTTTAAGTGGCTTGTCCTTGTTGTATTCAAGGCTTGCCTCTTTGGTGTTAATGTTGTCCTTGAATCGAAAATCGCCATGGTAGACCACCGTCCTGCTGTGACTTGGCAGACAGTTAATCATTGGAGCCTTCAGATTCACCTGTGCATACTGTCGGAAGGATTTATCGAGATCCTCGTCTTTGAAATCCTGAAATACGTGGCCTGTTAATAAAATACCTACGGCCATAAAATATGTTAAATCTAATAATTTTATGTGCTAAAAGTAGGAAAGCTTTTTGGGATAGACTAACGTCCTGTAGTGGGACGTTAATGGGTTGTTATAGATAAATAGATTTAATAAAAGAATTACATTAATACAAATATAAATTACAAAAAATATACAACCCAACTCATACCTAGGGTAGGCATGTCCATTAAAAATCGGTGTCGTTTCATGAAATTAAATGATGTTAAAGTAATTATTGAACCTTTCGCGATCGTCCTTACTATTTAAATCGTACCTAATAACTAGAAATGATTATATGAATGTATTAAAATGTATTATATGAATTTGATTATGTCTACGTATTACATTAGTTTGGGATTAATATCTAATAAACAAAATAGAAAAAAACTGAAAATGCGCAATAAAATGCTTCATTCATTATTGGATGCGTCCTGGAAACAAAATATTTATTTAATGAATTTACATTATATTTAAGTAATTAATATTCTAATTGAATGAGAGGTCTTGAATTCACTTGCTTGATAAATACTTACCAGCTCATAAGCCTCGAGGGAGTTGGCAAGAGTTTCCAGTTCCTCTAGTTCCTCGCGTTGACGGATAGTGCGGTTTAGATCCAATACGTAATTTTTAGCAAATGATTCCTGTATGAAAAGTAAATACATATAATTATACTATCTTTTTTTATACTGCTGGAAAGATGGAAGACAAATATGTAGATATATATACAAAGAGAAGTAGCTTGAAAGTTTCTTGTTCTTTTTGTTACGGCTAAACAAGCAGGATGTGAAAAACAATTTGCCCATTCGCTTTAAAAATTATGTTTCCTTACATAATACATTTATTTATAATGTATAATAAACATAATTATACTTACCATTGCAATGAGCGATGTTCGCTCAGGCTCGGCATCTGTATGAGCTATGAGTCTCCGCAAAAGGAGACTATACTTAGTCAGGCGCTGCATTGGTTTGACCAATATGTCAGAGAGTTGAAGCCTGAACAGAATGTATACATCAAAATACTACACCAATTCATACATACCAATTTCCCAAATTCCAATTTCGATAAAATTGTAGAATCTTAAAATATTCTATTAGGAAGTAGGTAAAGTTATTATAGTGATCGATACTGAATAGTCGTAACTATAGGTCACTAAATGTACTGATAAAATTAGAGAATAATATATTAACTAGTGACTACTGGATTGTCGATTCTCTAAAATAAAACGTCCCACTTCAAATATATATTTAGAAATAACCTAATATTTATAAGCTCTATTATCGATATAAACAGTTCGAATTAGAAGACTAGACTAGACTAAAAGCACAATCTTATTATTATAATGGAACGAACCGATGCTATTCGGTTCGTTCGTCCGGGTTGACATTGTAGTAAGTTTACATCCGGCCTTTATTTACCTGCTTGAACTATTCCCGAGGCGTTTCATTATCCTTTGAAATTAATAACAGAAGCTAAGGTTTACAAAGAAGAAGCAAGTGGTTTGCTGGTTTACTATAGTAGTTACAAGTTACTAGGAATAGAGCATTATGGTTTTAACAATTACGGTTTAAAACAGTAAGGTTGTAATATTTTAATAAAAATAAATTAAAATACATCCATTAGATACACTTAGACAGATATTGTTAGAACTATTTTTTTAATTCGTTTATTATCACAAAAATTGCATTATATAATGTTGTTACATTAATCTTAGTAAAAAAATTTCTACAATTATATTTAAAACTGTATACCTACAGGTAATGAACAGGTGTAGTTGTAATTATTCTTATGATTCAGGACGCAATAATTTAGTAAGTATCTACTTATTCTTAATATTAACACGAATTAACATTATCTATATAGGCTTTTAGCGTATATAGGTTGTTTATAAGTGGTTTTTAAACTGATGTAATGGTGAATTTTTTTACGTAATATGTATACATCACATGGCTTCGTCATCGGTAATATGAATGCAAAATTAAGGAGATTTCATAAGTTAACACAAAGACACAAATTGTAATTGAACATACCTTTTGCAAGATTTTTGGCTGTGGCACCAAGTAAGGTACATCATGAATTCAGAGTTGGATGAGAGAGAGCGTAAATATTCAATCGCTTTTTTTTGTTCGTTCACGTACTTCTCATACGGCTGTAAAATTTCACGGAAACGGCAGAAACCTTGAGCCATTAATTCGGTGTTGAACCTAAAATTTTAGATACATGAAAAATTATGAATATGCATTCTTATCAGCTGTAATACTAAGTTTTAGGAATGAGATTGTCTTTCATTCCAAACCTATATGTGGTGGCCACCGTAATAAATTTGAATAATTAAACAATGTTTAACAATAATTATGCATACATTCATTTAAATTTAATTCAATCAGTTTAATCTTAAATATAAACTTCTCGTGTCACAATATTAGTTAAACAAGAACAAACAACCACAACAAAGTAATTAATGTATGGTACATTTCCTGAGTTTATTATTTTTATTATTTCACCCTTTAAGAGAGATATCATTACATAGTATAGGATAAAGTTGCTGTGGCTGTCTGTCCGTCCCTATGTATGCTTAAATCTTTAAAACTACGCAACGGATTTTGGAGCGGTTTTTTAATAGATAGAGTGATTCATGAGGAAGGTTTATATACATATAATACATGTATACCCGTGCGGGGTCGGAGCGAGTAGCTAGTATCTTGATTAGTAGCTAAATTGGTGAAATAGAGCAGACTTTTTAAAAGGTTTATCTATACACAAAATATGGTCAAAATTAAGAAACCCCTTAGTTAAAGTATACTTACGGGACCGCTTTCTCGGTAGAGTCCAGAAGCATAGGCAAAATGGTTATATCCCAAAAGTACAAGCTGGAATTCAAGACATCGGGGATGTTAGAAAACAAACGCTCAGTGTCCACATCGAGCAGTTTGCCGCTGTCTTGCAATGCGTGTGCAGCCGCTATAAAAACCTGATGACAAATTTATAAGCAACACATTATTTGGCATCATAGACAGAACCATATGTCAGAGGAACTAAGTACCACTAGTAGGCCTTTGGGGACACGTTAGTCCCGTACAAAGACCCTTCGGTGAGTTTACTTAATTTTGACCTTGAGTATGAGCCGGAACGATCGCAAATTCACACGCAAGGGTAAACAAAGTCATGATTATCACCTTACTTTCTTCTTCATTAAACTTCAATGAAATTATTTTACACGTATTTCTTTCTTCCTAATGTTCTGTTTTAAACTACATTTCTAATTATAAATAGAATACGGTAGGTATAACGGCCTCGGTGGTTTAGGGTGTAGTATAAGCCTTATTGCGGACTGTGACGGGTTCGATTCCTCGCATGGTACAAACTTTTGTATTTATGAGTATGATTGTTTGTATCGGTCTGGGTGTTTTCTATGTATAATATGTATGGTATGTTTTTATGAAAAATATATCTACATATGTATTTGTATCAGTTATCTAGTACCACAAGCTTTAGCTAGCTTACTTGGGTCTAGATGGCGCTGTGTGAATTGTTTTGAGATTATTATTATTTTATATATATATATATAATTATGACTATGGATACCTCTCACCTGGATGGAAACAAGAAGACGGAGATGGCTAAATTTTATACCTTTTATACCGGATGAGGTTAAAATATACTCAGTGATATCAGTGCCATTTTACTTGGTAAATTTACAATAAACGTTAGTTAATAAACCACACCATCACCATATGATTACAGTCGTGAACATTATTAAGAATGTTACTTTAAAAAAACTGTAACAGCAGATAAATTTCATGCAATAAGATTTTTGACAGTGTAATTATACGATTTTGGCTTGTAAATATTATTTGTAATATTTAATAAACATCTTAATCCGTACAATACTTGTACCGATGTGTCTTTATATTAGTAGATACGGAGTCACAACTTCCCTAATGTGAGTTCGACACGCACTTGATCTGTTTCCTGTGGCCAATTCCTTAGGATTTACTGACGTTCTTTACATAATGGAACGGATCGTGAGAGATGGATGGCTCCAGATGATTAGCATTACAAAGCAGAAAAATCGTTTCATTTCATTTATTTTTGTTACATGATATACTACCAATATACGACTTTGTGAAGGTTCATTAGTTTAGTTTAATTATTATTTTATATTTATTTTGACGGCATCGGTGATCTAGCGATCGTAACACACCGTCTTAATTCCGATGGTCGCGGGTTCGATTCCTCGCACGTCACAAACATTTGCATTCATGAGAATGATTGTTCGTATCGGTCTGGGTGTTTTATATGTATAACATGTATCTAAAAGTATCGATGTAATTGTATCAGTTATCTAGTACCCGTAACACCGTACCCGTTGGGCTAACTGACCTGACCTCATGTTCATCTTATCATCCTCCACTGGTGCCCCGCCAGCGTATGCGGGTGCACCATTCCATTATCATTAACATGGGTTTAGATAGCTGTGCTGAACTGTCCTGTGATTATAATTATATGTGTGAAATTAGTGATCAAATTTGTATTAATATAAAATCCAAATCCTAACATCACTAAATTATCCACAATTGAGTAAATACAAACAAAACTATACTTTTTTTAGTCTGCATTAAAATAAAGTATTGATTGGTGAAAGTTTTGTATATATTATGTAATATTATCTTTTCTGTGGTGTATACCATAAAAAGCAGTGAGATTAAAGACTGAATCTTAATTGGGGAACGCATTGGTTCGTACACAAAGAGCCAAACCCAGCGAAGCTAGAAAAAGACCTGTTTGTAAAGCGAGATCGTTTTGTGACTTAGTAAAGGGGAAACTCGACACCAGTTTAAAGGACTAGGGAAAAAGCTGCATATAAATCCAGAACATTTTAGGAAATTCGAATATTGGCGTTTAACCTTCTCTATTACTTTTAGCTAGAGTCATTTTAGTTTCACTTAATTCTATGTGAATTAAGTGAAACTAAAATGACTCCAGCTCTAGACATACTAGGTGATAATACCTAAGCCTAACTAGATTGTTACCTGATTACGTCATTTAAAATATGTATTAGTATAGTATTGATGTAATACAATAAAACAAGAAAACTACTTTTATTTTTACAATAATTTATAATATTGACGACCTCGGTACTCTAGCGGTCTGGCACACCGCTTTACGTCCTATGGTATGGTGTTTTCTATGTATAATATGTATGTATTTAAGAAAAAAAACTATGTATTTGTATCAGTTATCTAGTACCCATAACACAAGTTTTAGCTGGGTTAACTTGGGTCTAGATAGCGCTGTGTGAATTGTTCTGAGATTATTATTTATTGAAAAAATTAGAGTCGAAAATATAGATTGAAGAGTTTCAGTTCTCATCTACAATCGTTTGAACAAATCATTACTACTGTATGGTTATTTATTGAGTTGAATTGAAACTTACATGTGAGTATATAGAGTGTATATAATATATTAATGAGAGAGTGTAGTATCTACATACTACACTCTCTCATTAATATATTCTCACGGAATTTATAAATATATTATTCTGAACAACATTTATTTAAAATAGCAACACGCAATATTCCTGCTCGTTCTTTTTGCTATGAGTCTGCGTTCCGAATGAGTGGTGGAATAAAAATATTTTTTAAATATTTTTTTTTTCTATTTCTACGATTGCACCGGAATGATTGACGGACTAAAATAGAAACATTGTTTTCACAAAAATTGTGTTTCACAACAAAAAAGATTTACTTGATGTATAAAAATGAATGCAGCTATTTCACAATCATTATTATTATTACATAGTATAAAACAAAGTCGCTGTCGCTGTCTGTCCCTATGTATGTTTACACGTATTATATATATATATAAACGTTCCTCTTGAATAACTCCATCTATTAAAAAAACCGCTTCAAAATCCAGGACAGGCAACGACAGCGACTTTGTTTTATACTCTGTAATCATATACGTTTGTTAATGTAGCTAATACTTGAGAATGGTTAAACCAATTTGGCTAATTTTGGTTTTGAAATATTTTTAGAACTCTAAGCAAGTGGTGAGGAAATACGAAGAAATGAAAAACTGCATGGAAAATAGTAAGAACAACAATTATTTTCCCCATACGAACTATTCAGTGCATTCAGAAATTAATTGCGTAACTAAACTTAAAAATCCTATGACATATGATTTAATTGTGAGGTGTAACCAAGTTGGCGGGGTCAGCTAGTATGCAATACAAAATGTACAATCAGCAGCACTGCTATTGAGCGCGCCGCGGAAGTGTATAAATTGTAGGTATTCGTAGGCCCGTGTGAGCCGCTATATGTACCATTCATCTACACGAGGGTTGCGCGTGTAACATTTTTATTAGGTACAAGTATGTCGAAATCGACTGGCACAGTGTACATCGGTGTATCACGCTACTCGTTTTCGCCAATTCAGTCCAATAATAAAATTCCTAGTAAAATCGATTGTTGCAACCCTGGACCCCGATAGCTGCATTTTTATGATACTATTCATGTTTAATCAATAAATGACTAAAACCGTAAATACCGATCGTATGATTTTCAAAACATCATCTATATTGACGATTTTATTTGATGAAGTTTATAGATAATAAGTTTCACTGTCTTTTACAATTACTCGTACAAATATGATTGTAAACTATAGATATATACCTATATATATATATATTATTGTAGGATTAGATATATAAATGACTAATCTTCATCCAGAAATTCATTATAATAATAATTATAGTACTATTTGGTTTTCAGTACTTACCTTACTTACAGTACTTACTTACTTTCAGTACTTACGGTATTAAAATGTTTCTGCATATTACAGATGCTTATTTTTCTACTGTACAGAGACTTTCAAGCTTTTAAAGAAGTCTACAACCATTAGGAATGTTATGCTGATACTAGTGTACTGTTATAGCAAATAAACATGAAAGTACAAGGTTTCCTTGAATTACGTATTACTCGTATCTTTTCCATTCAGAATTGCAATCTCAATTGCCCGTGTTCAAAGTACATAGTTGCAATAATTTGCGATTGAAATGTATAGGATCACTCGTAAACGGAACCAACAAAACAGAAAGACTGAAAATACTTCAAAAATGGATAATTTTCACTGAAGAGCAAAGTGTAAATATAATAAACATCGACCTCGTTAGCTCATATTTAATTGAACTAAGTGTCATTTTGCGGAAGTTCAGTTTACTACTCAAACTATTTATATTATTTTGTTTAATTCCGCTACAATTTGCATGTGCGATATCACAAATATTCAGTGCGGAAACTTGACTAACTTGACTACTAATACACACTTTGCAATATAAATTCATTAGGTAGTTCGTAGTATATTAGAAATTATTTAAATAAGTAATATTAATAATTATTCTTTTTCCCACATTGAGGTCTAGGAGTATGCATTCTATATCACAATAGTAAGAAAATGATTATCAAATTTAATTAATTATCAATCCATATCTCTACGATTATCTTATGTGCGATAAAATTACCTGATGGTAGATCTCATAAATATGTACTTCTAGAAAAAAATAAAATTTAATTTATATTGTAAATTACATACTATATACATTACTACAAAATACCTATTACAAATCAATATTAGGTATTCCGTGGAAGCTAATCTATAGATTAGCTACTATTACCTATTTCAAAGGACTTTTATTCAGAACGAAGTACGAGTAAAATTAGATTACCATATAAATTGCAGCAATCTGATTTGCACTTTATGTGAACAGTTTCATTTACATCCTGCACTAGAAGTACTATTTACGATTAGAAATCAAAGGACGACTCTGATAAAGGAACGTGAGAGATTAGTGAACGACTGAGATGCCTCTATAAGTGCTTTGTTGTTTTCTTAGATAGTTTACTTTGTACACCGCCTACTGGATATGGAGATACAGGAAAAAGTATGGATCGAATATATTAATAATACGAT